AATAAATTAAATATAAACAAAAATAATTATTAGTAAATAAAATAAATAAAATTATATATTAATACATATTATATTATTAATTATATTTTATACATATATATATTAATAAATTTTTATATATATATATATTTTTTTTTAATATTATATATATATATTAATTTCAAATTTTTATTATATAATTTTTTATAATATTAATCTTTTTATATTATTTTTAAATAAAATATTATCATAGAAACTTTTTTATAATTAAATTAAATTAATTTATAAATAAGCTATATTATTATTTATTATAAAATTTTTAATAATAATATAATTCTATATATATACATATAATATTTATATTTTTTTACTAATATATATAAAATTATTTAAAATTTTATATAATCACATTTATAAATACAATTTAATATATTAATTTTACATATATTGTTCTATTTTTATTAATATTTTTTTACTTTAAAATTTAAATTATATACCTTTTTGTTAATATTAAAATAAATATTAATATATCTTTTATTATTTTTTTTTATATATTAATTATTTATTTTTTTTATCACTATATATATATTAATTATATAAAGATATTAATTTAGAAATTTAAATTAAAAAAAAAATATTTTCATTATTAATTTAATTTTTTATATTTATATAAATTAACAATCTATTTATTTATTTTATAATTATTATTTTATATTATATTATTTTATTTTATTTTTATCTATTTAATTTTATTCATTATTATTTGTTTTTTATTTATATTTGTTATTAAAATTAGATAATAAAAAATTAAATAATTTTTTTTATAAAAATATAGAAATTTTTAATACAAATTTATATTAAATAATTTTAATTAATATATAAAAATAATTTTTAATTATTATTATAAATAAATTAATTAAAAATTAAGAATAAAAATTAATGATTTTTTTTTAAAACATATTAATAATTATAATTTTAATAATATCAATAAAAACATAAGAACCTTGTGTTTGTCCCACTGTTGGTGATAATACATTCCCAGGTATAACTGCTTTATAAGATACTCTATAAATATCTCCAGATAATGATGAAAATACATAAGGAAGAATAATATAAATAGGAACAAATCTATTTTTATTTGATAAAATATTTCACTCAACTAAATCTATTTAACATTTGAATTTAAGATTGTCTGCTGATTTAAAAAAAGAAACGTTTTGTCCTACTTCATATTAGATAATAAATTAATAAGATTTGTAAACTATACTTAATCATAAGGATAAGTTAAAAATATTTAATGAATATCTGCAAATAAAAATAGCTGATGGGGAAAAACTTATTGTTTGCACAAACACCAAGCTGACTGCAGTGATTTCAAATGGTGGAGAAAATTCTGATTGGGAATTTTAATGTGCATAATTAGATTCTAGTATAAATGGAAATATAAACGCTGTGAACACTTATTGGGAAAAAAAACCTATGATAACTTTTTGCAAAAAGGTAGACTCTACAAATGTTAATGTTGAGTTGTCAGGATATAATGGATATGATTTTATTGAAGGATAAAAATATAAATTAAACATTATAAATAAATAAAATGTGATAAAATATTATTCTGAAGATTCTTAAGGGAATTAATATACTACCTAAAATATTGAATATACAGCAAATAAAACACATTAATACGGTTGCTCTTATATAAAATTGAAAGTTTTACTATTTGGAAATTTCATAAGTAATCGATGTGTAGTTTTTTGGATGAGTCCTAAATATGGATCTAATTAAGATACTAAATTGACTTATGGTTAAATAATAAAAGTAAGATTGAATGGTATTTAATCTACTTTTAATAGAGGCTTACATTTTAGTCCTAGTTGTTTTTCATTAAGTCCTTTATTGAATGAAAATGCTTCTTGGGCTTTCTATTAAGATAATGCAAGTAAAAACCTAATAGTTTAGAAAATTAATGCTGATGGAACTTTAAATGGAAGTAGTATTAATATAAATTAATAAGGATAACCTATGGATATTACATCTCTACCTAATGGAGGATTTGCTATTTTGGCTAAAAATGGAGATAAGTGCTGGATAGCCTCTTATGATAATAATGGAACATAAGCATGGAATATAATTCTTCATGATAATGGAGACAATCCGACAGTTGTAAGATAGTAGATTAGTTTTTTGAATGCATAAGGATAATAACCTTTTGGAATGGAAAATATGTATAAACCTTATAATGGTAAACTATTATATGCTAGAGGAAGATTATTTATTGCTTGGGCCTATTATAATCATTTCGGTATGGACAGTAAAGGAGCTAGAAATGATCATACGGGTTCTACAATGTTTTCTATGGATTATATTACAAGCAATTAGAGATTACTTTATTTTTCATTCAATCCTACTCATTCTTTAAATTAAGAGCTTTATTATGATGGTAGGTTTGTTTATTTTGGATCTTTAGGTGACGCTTATCCTTAGAATGTTAAAATAAAGTTATGTGAGACTTATGCTGCATAATGTTATGAATTTTAAGATAAAATAGACTTAGTTAATGATAATGAAATGCCTTCTAACGGAAGTGGAAAAGCAGGAGGAAGATTTGGAGGAATTACTAAAAAAATCGGAATTAATTAAAAATAGGTACTTTACTAAAGGAAAGAATAAAAAACGAATTCTGATTTCTTACCTAAATTAATTAACCATGTAAATGAAGTATCCTTATAATTAATTGAACCTTAAATTATTGATAAAAAATTTAGTTTGAATAAAGTAAGTAGAGTTTAATTATTAACAGGAGATTTAGGAAAAAGAGCAAATGTTATTAAAAGTGTTAATTATGGAAAAAATATTCTTATTTTATTTAATTTAGTAGATTAAGCTGGTGATATAAATACTTTTAATAAGGATTTCACTTAAGATAATGATGAATGCTATATAATGCTAGTTAATTCAAATGATGGCTCTAAAATACTTGAAGAAACTAAAATACCTGATAGTATTTCAGCTAATGATTTAATGAGAGTCCTTTAAGATGGAAGAGTTGTTTATACTTAAGTTAATAAAGATAATTCTGTTGATTATTTCTATACTCCTATTCCTCCACCAAATATTTATCCTGATGTTATAGTATAAAACGATCCTATTTATGGATATGGTGCTACGTTATTAAAAGGATAAACATAACCTGTGGCAATAACTGTCGATAATGATACAACTTAAAAACCTTCGAGTGGTTTAATATAAATTGTGCATTTTGGATTATTCTTTTTAATTGGTTTGCTTTGTTTTGAATTTTGAATTTTTGTAAAATCATAATTATTTTTTAAATTTTATCAAGCAATAAACTTTTTTAATTTTTTTTTAATTATATAAAAATAATAACTATCTTCTTAAAATACACATATATATAATCAATAATAATGTATAAAAAAAAAATAGAATACATGCTTAACTTAAAATAAGCTGTTAATAAATCCCGTTTTTCAAAATCAAATCTATATAATTTCTTTATTCTACAATTTTTGCTTATTTAATTACAAAAATAAAATCATGATTCTTTATAGTACTGAACTTATGTACTATAACTATAATTATAAGTCCATATTTCCCGTCAATTATCCTAAACACTATTAGAATTAAGATTCACTTTCTGAATCCAAAAAGCTCATAGACTCATAATAAGAACTTATTATTTTTTAATAAGTACCTGGGTATTTAAGGATACTGAAAATTTACCTTTGTATAAAATAGATTCAGAAACGACACAATTTTTAAAAAAAAAATTAGAAGTTTTTCAAATTATTCTATATTTAGTATTCCTAATAATAATAATATTAAAAAAAGAAGGCTCATAATTACTAGACCTATTTAATTTATTAATTTAACTAAATTGAAATCTTATATTTCTTTATTTCTTATATACTTATACTAATACAATCCACATTGTAAATCTCTAAATAAGTTTGGCTACAGTTAATTAGGTTTTTTTTATGTTTAAATAAACTTATTAATAAATATACTAAAATATAGAAGAAAACAAACTATAGTATTAATAAAATCAAATTCTAAAAAAAAATGCTATTAGTGTTATAAAATTAAAAAAAATATATATTTAAAACAAAACAAAAAAATACATAATAGATAAAAAATATTTTTTTTAATATTTATTTTTAACTAATATTGTTGATTAAAAAATTTTTTATTCATTCATTTTATTTAATTTTTTAAGTTATTTTTCCTTTCTTACTATTATTTTTAAAATTATTTAAAAAAGCTTGATTCAATTTAAATATTATCATAACTTTCCATGCAAGCTTCTTACAGTTAGCATTAATTTGAATTAATTCCATATTATTACCAATTTTTAACAATATAACAATTATCTAATGCTTTTAAAGGAGGAGGTCTTTCGTATTTATTTTTATTATTAACTCTTTTTTCTTTACCAAATATTTATAATTCTAAAAATTCTACTAGCTTAATTGCATATCTACGAAACCCTACAATATTTTAATGACTTAATATTCTTACAATACGTAAATAATTGTGCTTATTTATAAAAAAACATTTATAAAATCTATCTAAATAATTTTAATTTAATTATATATCACCAGTGTTATAATTTATTATTTAAAAACCATAAAAATCATAAATAAGTTCATAAGCTCTTAATTTTTATAAAAAAATTAAAATATTTTATACATTATTGTATTATTATTTAATACTTTACTAATCTTTCATAAATTTCCTTATTTTCTTTAAATTCCTTTATTTCTTCTTTTTATAATTTATGAGAGTCCATATTAAATCGAGAAGAATAGTTATTTGGAAATAGCCATTATATATATTAATGATTATGTTCTAATAAATCATAATTTCCTTTCCTTTTTTATTTTTATAATATTTTTATTTATAAAGAACTTTTTTTATACCAATCATTTAAAATATTTTTTATGTATTCTCCTCTTTGTTAGAGATTAATTTTTAATTTATTCGTATAAAATAAAATATTAAAGAATGTTTGCTCTTCTTCTATTTATATTATTGCAGTATTTTCTTTTAAATTATTTATTCTACTCTTTCTTTTATTATTTTTTTATTCTTCTTATTAGTTAGTTTATATTTAATTTTCTTCTATATTGTTATCTGATGTTTCATTTGATTTTGCCTCAATAATTTATATAATAATATTATTATCTTATAGTTTTTCCATTTTATGTAAATAATATCTATGTAATTAAAGTATTTTTTTTTTTTAGTTTTTATAAAATTTAAAAAATAAAAATAATACTGAAATAGAAATTTATTAATAAAAATAAGGAAAAAAAAAAAGAAATACAATTTTTTTTAATCATCTATTATTTAAATAAAAATTAAAATCAAAAATATTTCATTATTTCATAATAAATCTCCAACAAATAAACCCAGCTCCTTAATTTTCATTATCTTTATATTAATTAATGCTATTTTAGACAAACTATAAATTATTTAAATAAGATTAAATGACATTTTGAGCCAACTCATGTTTAGTAATAGCATCTAAAAGTAAATATAGATTAAGTCCATAAGGTCCTTCATCAATATTTTCTTATTAAATTTTTTATTTTTAGAATAAAATATGAGCTCCTTCATCACAAACATATCTAACAAACTTAAAAAGCCAATTATTTTTATTACAAAAGTCATATTTGTTAAATTAATTCTTCATGCCAATAATAAATTTATTATTTCCTATATAAAGAAGACAAAATTAAGAATTTTATCTTATGTAATTAATATCGATTTTATACACACTTTTAGTATTAATATTTTGTTATTATTATTATTATTAAGAAAAAGAGAATTTGATTATGTTTTTGAGAATTTCATCCTATTCTTATTAAGTGAATATTTTTTCCTTCACTTATTAACTGATATATTCTTAAAGTATAAAAGGAGAAAACAAAAATTAAACAGTGGGATATACGAAAATCTATTTATCATTTTAAGTTTAAATAATACATATAGGACTATTGACTATTTTATCCAAGAATTTTTTCACTTCATCTGTTTTTGTACCATTTGTATATTCGAAGTAATTTTCTATTTAAAAATCTTATTAAATCTATTTATTTTTATCAAAAATATTCATTGTTTCATTATCTTTATTACTCTAATAGCTTGTTTACTTTTATTTTTATTATTATTTAGTATATGAGATTTCTAATATATGATTCTGTTCTCCAGCTAAGAATCTTATGGCTTCTGTGAAAGGTTTTTATAATGAATACTAAAGTTCTAGTTTATGTGAAAAAATTCCCTGAATGATTTTTCTGAGGTTTTCCTTACAAAAAACATCGACATGATTTTCTATGAAAAAATCATTGATTTTAAACTTGTCTTTTAAAATTAAAGAAAAAATGCTCCTTCTTTATTCGTCTTTTATTACTGCGTTAGAGATTTTGTCATAGTGAGATTAGAGTAAATTATTTATAGCCCCATTCATTTTATGGATGAAAATATTAATAACTTCATTTAAATAATAAAGTTTACCAACTGAAAGATTATATAAGGCTATTAAAGATTAATATATAGAAGAAATATTTCCAATTACTTTCTTATCACAGTTTTTTATATATAGGTGTTTTGTGATTTCACATTCTTATATATTTATAAATTCTTTCTTTTTGCTTTATACCTTTAAATTATTATTACATTCTTCATATTTTAAAACAAAAAACTTAGTATAATTCATAGTCCTAGATCTTCCCATTGCCTGCCAAATTTTAGAAAAATCATCAACATCATGCGCTATAATACAACTTTAATGAATTAAGGGTTATTAATATTGGTTAAAGTATAAAACTTAGAAAGGAATATCTTTTCCTATAACATTTCTATTGTCGATAAAGAAAAATATCTTTTCACTTAATTTTTTGCCATATTTAGTACTCATTTGCTTATAAAACTCCTCATCGTATTATATGTCGTTATCTGAATCTATATATATGATTCTATCTGCACAAGATATTTATTCAATGTAATATATATAGGAAAATTTGGACATTCCGAAAATTCTTTTTATTACATTCCTAACTTCTAGAATATGCATTTTTTTGAAAATTCCACATAAATCAACTAAAGAGTTTATTTCTGAATTCAACTTAAATATTTCTTCCAAAATTTAAGACTCGCTTAAATTTTCTTACTATATAAAATTGGAAGGACAATAAGCAGTGAAAACCTTGTTATTTTCTCCTTAAAAATGCTTGAATTTTTAAGGATAAAGTTCGTTTATATTCTTATCATTTGAATGTAAATAAAATGACCTGTCAATTAAATCTGGTATATTTTGCATTTATTTACCTCCTTTTATACTTTAATATGAAGGATAATTATCTAGAAAAGGAGTTCCTGTAAATCCTTTACAATCAAAATTGAAAATTACATCAATTGAGTTTGTGCATCTACTTTTATCATGAATTTCCATTTTCCTTAAAATTATCTCGAATAAATATTTGGTTAAACCATTTTTTAGTTTTGAATTATTTTATACTAAAGTTGATAATTTCTCATTTCCATATACAAGTTCATCATAATCAAAAAATTTAATATATTCTTTAAAATACTCAAAGCTAATATTTTTCCTTTCAGCCTAAAATAGTTCATCATATTTACTTATATCCTCCATTAATAAATAATAGGTTAAATAAATAGTTCTTTCCACATCACTATAATACGAACCAGCCATAGCCCTATTTACACTCTCATATGGACGAGCAATTAAGGACTTATAGCCTTCTATGTCATGTGCTATATTTATGGAATGTCTTAGTGTTTATTCGTTGAAAATTCCAAAAGACTTATTTAAAGATTTACTTTTTTGTTTAATTTCTTCATTTATTATAGAGTATTTTTATTCAAGGTTTTCCCAGTAAGAACTGTTTTCGGAATTTTCAGGTTCTTATTAAATTTATTCTTCATCTACTTTTTTTGGTATATCTCTTCTTGAATTTAGTTTTCTTTTTTATTTTTGTATGTATTATGACATACTGCATAGTATTTGGAAATTACATCTTTTTAAAAGTCGTTGTTTTTATTCTAACATATATTAAATACGAGTTTATCTCTATCTAAAAAATCATCCACCTCGTCAATAAGAAGTAAGATTTAGTCTTTTTTATACAAAAGCTTATTCGCGATTTCATCAAATGTGAGAGCTTTTTTAAAATAATTAAACGAGGAGATAAAAATTTTCTTTTATTTAGAAGAAATTTAAACTTCGCTCTATAAAAGCATAAATAATTCATCATATATCTTATAGTCTTGTCCGAAATTAATATTAAGGCAATATCTGAATACTTGTTATTATGCATCTAATACAAGATGTTCTGGAACTATTATAAATAAACAATTTTTTTATTAATTTTAGTTATTTTTAGATAAATATTTATGCACATCGATATTATTAGATAAGAAAATTTAACATAAAATAGGAAGGACGACTTTTGTCTTTCCTGAACCAACTTCACTAAAGAAAAAACTTTCTTACCTAATAATTATATCTTTTATGATCTCTTTTTATTTTTGAGTAGGAATTATGGTAGCTTTACCTTCTACACAACGTTAATAATGAGTGAAGTTTTCACAAACTTTATTTATGAAATTTTCTAAAGAGTCTGTCGTATTTTCGGAATAGTCAAAAAATTAAGTTTTTAATATATTATCATAATGCTTATTATCTTCATTATTCTCGATATATTTTATAGCATGTAACCATGGGCCTTGTATTTTTTTTGTTTTACCGTCTTTTTATAAATATTTTACAGTACAAGAAACTCTTTTAAGGAAAATTAAGAGAAGTAAAAACATAGAAATGTTTCTTATTTTTAAAGAAAAATCTAATAGAGATATTATATGTTTTGTGTTTTAAATTTGCATTAAAAAAAAAGGTTCATATAGTACTGTTTTGCTTTCTGTTATATATTAATTTAGAGCCACATCTTTAAATTAATAATTGTCATTTGCGTCTATATATATCTAACAAACGTAAATATTTTCTATGAGTTCGAATTTCATTCCATAATAATTTTCGTTAAATTAACCTTCTTTATCGATGTGAAAGTAAATATGTTCGGAATTAATTATAATGACATCGTTACTGTCTGTATATTTTAAGCAAGGAATAAAATTTAAAGCTTCATTAAAATACATACAATTATACTAAACAGGTACTTTATTTAAAGTTATTGTACTAGAAATTTCTATTGATTATTATTATTATTATTATTATTATTATTATTATTATTATTATTATTATTATTATTAATTTTTAATTTTTTTATTATTATGGTTAAATATAAGTATATTTCCTGCTAAAAAAGCTAAGAATTTACTTTCCTATTATTAACAATAGAAAGTATTTTAAATTTCTGTGTATTTGTACATACTTTAAGGCCCATCTGAGTGTGAATTTAACCTTATTTTGTATAAATTTATTTATGGCTATTCTTCTAAGAGTATTAAATAAAGACATGTTGTCATAAACAATATTATCATTTATTTATGAAAAGTTGTATGTGCTAAGTAATTTTATTTAAATATTCACTTAATTTACTTGAATAATTTGCAGGAACAATAATCACAAATTCTCCATCTATTTTTAACTTATAATAGTCTAATTCTACTGATTTATTTATCTAACATAGAGACATGTATATTTTGCATAATAATACATATTTTTAGAAAACTTTATCTTAATTTAATGTATTTATATCTTGGAATTATTAACTTTATTATTAAAAGTTTTTATTTACCAAAAATTTGTATGAAAACTCATATATAAGATCTTCTATTCGAATTCTAGTAATGTTTGATTCTTTAATTTATTTATCCATTTCATTTATTTTGTTAGATACTATAATTTGCAATTGTTTTAAGTCTAAATGTTGGTGAAAGAAATCTATATTTATTAGTTTTTTGTACTTTTCGAAAAGTCCAAAATCCAAAAGCAAATTTACTAAGGCTAAATTGATTATAATGTCATCAGAAACAACTTTTTTATCTTTGCTTTATAAAATGTCATCTAGAACTTTCTTTAAATATTCATATGAATATATTTTATCACTAACGAGTACACAATCAGGTTCTTCGCATCTTTTTTACTAAAGAATTAAAGGAGAAATACTATCTAGAGAACTTCCGACTAAAATATCTTAAGATATTTTATATCCAGTGGAGCTTTCTATATGTCCATAATGGATATAATTATGGGAAGTAGAAAACATTATTTTTTAACAAACGAAAGCCAGTATATTCCTTATATCTTTTCCTCCAAAAATTTAAACACTATTAATATCTGGATTTAGCCAATAATTATCTATAATATTAATAAAGTGCATTAAATTATTATATTTAGTATATGTATATCCATGTCCAATTTTGACTTAAATTAAGTATTTTTGTTTATAATTTACTTATTAGTTTACTATTCCCATATATTTATGTAGTGTTTGTTTCGCCATTTAATTAATACATTCTTTTTCGAATTCATACTCGTGTCTATATACTTACTTTTGCATCAATTCTGTGTCATAAAAAACACTCCTCGTTAAAGAGTTGATGTCTTTTTCTTTTGGATTTTATTCACCGAAACCTAAGGATGCGTATTTTTAGAAAAAAGAAAATGTGAGAAAATTTTGCAAATAGAATTGGAATTACTAAGTACGGTTTTTAAACTCACCTAAAGATATTATTTTTTCATAATTATCAGCTTTATTTGTCGACATGAGCATTTGTTCGGATAAAGCAATGTTTACTTTCATTATTATTTCGTTACTTTCTTATAATAGGGAACATGTGTCGATCATAAATGTATATAAATGTATATTTCGAAGCTCTTCTTAACCTATTTCAAATTAGGGCATAAAATAAAATTCTAAAAATTTAGTTTTTTTAATTTTCTCTTATACTTAATTAAAATACATACTAAGTTTTTAATAATGAGATAAAAGGAAGTTTTTCCTCAAAGAATTAAATTCGTTAAAACTAGTAATTTTTCTCATTATATTAGTATTGAATGCAAAAGTCATGCTTACGGGTCTAAATTTATAATAATTGTATTTACAAACTCTATAATGAGAATCATTTACATCACAAATGGATTGAATTTCTTTTGAATTTAAAGCTGAGAACATTTTGTCCTCAATTTTCATTATATTGAATTCTTGGAGAGTTTTTTTTTCCTCAAATATTTTTTTTAGCTTTAAAATTTAATTTTTATATGAAAAATCAATAGTTATTTTATTTTAATCCAAAAAACTTTAAAAAAGTTAAAAATAAACAGAATTTTAATATCTTACATAGTCTATTAATATATTATTATTTTAATAAGGCCTAATTTCTTATCTATTATAATAAAAATCCATTATATATTTAGCCATTTATAATGATATGCCTTTTAGTAATTTTTCGTTTTTAACGCATACTTTTCCTTCCTTTATATATATTTCACCTGCTCTACAAAATACTGCAAATAAAAAAACTTAAAAATAACAAGTATTATTTGTTAGTTGTGTAGAAAAATTAGAAACTGAATTTCGGTTGTTAAATAGCATATATTCAGTTAGATTAATACCTATACGGTTTGCTTTTAATTACATTTTTTGGAAATTGTCATCACCCATGCATTTCCATATGTTTAAAATTTTATTTTTCAAAAAACCTCCTCCTTTATAATAGTCTTTGTTTCCCTCGATATGTGCTTAGTCCCCATATTTGCTTTTCATGCAAAAAAAAAGTGCAAACTCTTGGCACGATTCAATACCTTTTATAAGTTATAATTCTTAATTTAATGGATCGTAATATATTATATGGTCCTTTTATAAAATCTAAAAGGCAGTAAAATGAGCATCAATGCAATTCACTACTATATATTTGTGATTGAATATATATTCTATTAACTCATCGTATTTCATGTTTTTCGTTTCGAATAAAACTCCTTAGAGCATATCTATCTGATATTTTTCTAATAAGGAACGGAAAAAATCCTCTACTGCATTGTAGTTGGAATAACCTTTGTCGAAATAATCGCTGTTTGAAAATAATAATAAGGGAGCAAAACTGTATTGTGTAAAGTCGTAGGTTTATTTTGTTTTATCTTCTTCTATTTCCATTTTTTTTTTTTTAATTTTTATTATATTATATATTATTTTATATTTATTTTATTTTTTTATTTAATAAATTAAAACTAAGATTTGTGTAAATATTTATTATGTAATTTTTTTATTTTTATAAATAGATTTTTTTTGTATTTAATAAAATATATGTATTTAATATAATAAAATATTTAAATTAAATATTCTTATATAGTTTTTAAATAATTTAAAATTTATAATTTTTTTTTTTTATTTATTCTTTTTTGAAAATTAAAATAATAAAATTTAAATCTATTAAATATTCATTAGAAATATAATTTTAATTTAATATGTCAAAAAATATTAAAGCATTTATTTATATAAAAAAAAATTATATTATCTATAGATTCATTTAAAATATTAATTTATATTCTACTAATAATATAAAATATATTAAAAAAAAATATTTAATTAATATATTTATATGATAAAAAAGAGAAAGAAAACTATGTATTATATATATAAAGCAATTCATAAATGAAAATATATTATTAAAAATTATAGTATTATAATGAAATAAAAAATATTTTTTTTTTTAAAAAAAAATATATTTTAATTTTAAAAATTTATAATTTAAAATTATTATAAATAATGTTTTTATTTAATATTTAAATTTAAAATATATAAAAATTATATATTTAGTAAAATTATTAATGAATAAAGTTTATATAATAATAAATATTCATTTAAATATAAATAAAAATGTAAATATATATATAAATTTTTATATTTTTTTTTATATATATAAAAATATATATATATATATATATATTTATATATTTTTATATTTTTATATATAATTCAAATCAATTAAAATTTATTTTAAATGCTTAAATAAACATTTATTTAATAAAAAACTAACAAAAAAAACAAAATAATATAAAATTCTATCTTCTAAAAACTTAATAAGATATTTATTCTAATAGAAAAAAAAATATTAAATGATTATGAAATCATTTTTTAATATTTGAAACTAGCCATTCAAGTCCTTCATCCATACCTGTTTGTTTTAAATATTACTTTTAATTAAATTAAATAAAAAAAAAACCTTCTTTAGTCACAGCAGAACAAGCAACAATAGACCAAGGCCTGTCTTTTATATTATCAAGTTTTAAAGATTCACTTATCTTTATAATTAAATAATTAAGAAAAGATTAATTTTATATTTTTAAAAATTTATACCTCATCAGGCGGTAATGCTAAATTTAAGTCTTATTTATTTGCATATATTAATAATGGAACACCTGCTAAATCACTTTCCTTTAAATTTTTTTATATATAAAAGAATTACAAATAAAATATTAAACCTGTAATAATTTTTGCAATTCTTCTCCTGATTCGTTCAATCTTTTAGAATCTGATGAATCTATTACATAAACTAATGCATCAGTATTTTCAAAATAATTTTGCCAGTAAGTACGAAGGGCCTTTTAACCGCCTACATCCCATACATTCAATTTAAAGCCTTCGTGTGTTAAATTTTTTATATTAAAACCGTGAGTTGGCTTTATTGTAGTTATATCTTCATTTGATAATGCTTTTAGAATCGTAGTTTTTCCTGCGTTATCTAATCCTAATACTAATAATCTTATTTCTTTTTAACCTTATCTTAAATTCCTTAATAATGATATTAATCCCTTTTATATATTTTTTGTTTATTATTATTAATTTTTTTATATAATATTATTAATTTTAAGATATATAAATATTTGTATATTTTATTTACCATTTTTATTATTTTAATGTTTATTTTGTTTTTTAATATTTATTTTTTATATTTTCTTATAAATTAATTTTTTTATAAATAGAATTTATTTTATAATTTTTTTTTTTTTTCAAATATAAGTAATTTTATACTTTTTATATCTTTTTTAAATTAAAAAGTATATAAAAATATAATTAAAAAAGTTTCAAAATAATTATATTTTATTTTTAATTTAATTAATATATTGTATATATAACGTAATTATATATTTCTTATTTGATTTTTTAATAAAAATTATATCTTAAAATAAAAATATACAAAATAATGAATTTTTTTTTTATTTAATAAAAGAAAATAAGTTAAAAGTTTAATTAAATTGTAAGAAAATTTATATATTATTTTTATTTTTCTTTTATTATAAAATAAAATACATATTCTGCTTTTGATATAAATGTATAGATTTAATAAATTTGTAAAGTTAATTCTATTTAATTTATAATTCATTTATTAAAAAAAAATTATATTATTTATATTATTCTGTAAAGCTAAACTATTTTAAAATTATTGTTTTAATATCAATTTATTATATTTTATTAATAATAAATATTTGACTCAAATATTGTTTTATTAAGTAAATAAATAAATATATTATAACTAATTAATTAGTCTATTTTTATTAAATATAAATTATTATAATACTAATTATAAAAAATAAATATATATTATGTATTATAAAAAATATTAAATTTTTTATTAACTATAATATTTTTTTTTTAAATATATAATTTTAAATTATTTATATTCATTTCTTTTGTTTCTAACTATTTTATTTTTAATATTTAATTTATTTTTAAGGCTCTATATAATTTTGCTATTAAACTAGCTATGGCTAATATTATTAATGAGATCTTGGGAATTATTAAAGTGTTCTTTAAGCATTTTATTATTAATATTGTAACTATGGTTATATATATTATTATTATTGTTATAATTATAATTGTTATTATTATCTATTTCCAATTTAGAGATATTTTTAATTATTTTCTAAAAAATTTGTATTTTGGTTTATCGTATTCCATTAATTATGAAAATCTCCTGCTTATTCTTTTTTTAAAAAATTTTATATTTTTTAAATATATATTTTATTATTTTCAATATATACCTTCTTCAACATTATAATAATGATTTGTCGTATTAATTTATCCGTCTCTATCTTTTTCTTTAATATATTTAATCCCTTAATCATTTAGCATTCTTTCATGTGCTAAAAGCTATTTTCCATTTGCATTATTTTTATATCCTTGTTTTCTTTCACTAATCTGTTATAATTAACAGAAAAAAAAAAAAAAAGATAATATATTTTTATAAAAAAAATAATATATAATTTATAAAATACTGTATTTCCGTCTTAACCTCTTTAAACAACATTATTATTAAAATATTTTTCTACTTTAGGCTATCCATCTTCTCCTATTACTTATCTTTAAACCATACTACTACTATAACAAACAAACTATCCGTTTCCAGGATTTTCTTATTAAAGCTAATTAATTTATCTTTAAGGAGCATTCATAACATTTCTATGCACTTTTTTTATTTAAATAAAAAATCAAATTACAAATTTATATATATTAAAAAAAAATACTATTTGAAAAATCAAACATATCAGATTCCTAAAAATTTCTATTCATATTTTCAAAAATACTCATAAAAGGTGAGCCGAACATTTACATTTAATTATTTTAATGGTTTTATTTGAAAAAGGAATCTTCAAAAAACATATCTTAGAAAGGAGTCATGAACTAGTTTTAATTAAAAATTTGCATTTAATTCATTTAGTTAGTTGGACCTCTTTAATTATAAGATTATTATTATCTATTTTAGTTATAATTGTTGTACATATATTATATTTGTTTTTTTTTTAAAAAAAAAAAAAAATTAATTTTATTATATTATTAATTTATTATTTAATTTTTCATAAAAATAATTATATTTATATGTTTTATAATACATAATTTAGGTATATAAAGGAGAAAAATAAATATATTTAATTAATATTTCTCGACGTTATAAATTATTATAAGTATCAAAAATATAAAAAAATTATTAGAAGATATTATATATATATATATATGTATTAAATTTAAAATTTTCATTTTATTTAATTTTTTTAAAAAATATATTAATTATTTATCTTATATATATTTTATTTTAATTCTTTTTATTCACAATATTTTAGTATAATTAATTTAGCTTGGTATTTCAACAATCATTCCTATATTAAAATTTAAAATATATCAAAAAAAATATTTATATTTATATATTTTTATTTATTTTAAAATAGTCTATATTTAATTTCACCTTATAAATTTTCATTAACATATATTTAACAAGACATCCTTGTTTCACTTTTTTTATAAAAATAATATATATATATATATATATATATATATATATATATATATATATATATTATTTAAATATATATATATTTATTTTTTATTTTATTTTTTTTTTTTTATTTATTTATTTTTACTTAACTCTATATTCGACTAATGTATTTAATATATCTAATTCTTATTCTGAAGGAGGATTTAAATCTTCATTTTTATTCAAAATATGAACACTGCATGTTGTACAAGCTAACTCTTTACTACATAAACCGAAAACTTCCATATTTTTATCCACTAATTATTATGTTAAATCCATTAGATTCTAACCTATTTTTATTTAAATATTTTAATAATTAAATTACGTTTAATTTTTTTTTTAAGTAAGTTTTCTTTCTTTTTACATTTTCATTTGACATATTTTACCTTTTTATGCTTCAAGTAAATATTATTAACCATTTTTTTATACTATAATATCTATACTAATAAATTAAATATTTATAGATTCTTAATATTTTTTATATATACATATTTTATTTATTTTGCTTATTTTTAATAAGTAATCCTGTTATTTTCTTAAAAAAATTCATTTTATTTTTATATTTATATATTTTTATATTAAGATTGAATAAAAGCTAATAAATATTTTTGAAAAAAAAAAATAATATTTATGGAATTTCTAAGAAATACACATATAAATTAAAATAATCGAAATATATTTATCAAATAAATTTTTTAAAAAATAGTCAATTATTCTTTCTATTTTCTTTAATATTAAAGACTTATGAGATATTCTTAATTATTTAAATAAAAAATATTTCTTATATTTAGCATTATCCATTTACCTAAAATCCTTTATTTAGTATTGTCTAAATCTTTTCTTTTAATTAAATTTGAGTTATATCACGTTTCATCTATTCTTCTATTATATTTTTAATTTTCTGTTCATCTTTAATCAAACGAATATAATTATTTACATAATCTCTATAGTTAATAGTTTTAAGATGACTACTATTCTAATCTATTTATAGTTAATTAGTGAATATTTCTTTCCATATTTATTAGAAATATTAATTAATCGCCTAAATATATTAAATTTAAAACAGATAAAAAGATAATTATAATTTTAATTTATTAATACAAAAAAAAAAGCATCACTAGTATTAAGAAACTATTGCAAAATAACGATATCTAAAGAATTAATTTATATTACTTAAAGTGTTTTACTACACATTCTAAACTTAAATTCATCATCTAAAGATTAAATTATTTAGTAATATAAATTAAAAGTAATATTATCAAAATAGCTTAATTTAAAAAGATTATATTAAATTAGATTTATAAAGCTCTTTTAGTTTAATAATAAAAAAAGAATATATATTTATTTAAATAAATACTTTTATGATAGAAAAAATCTTCTTTTTTTAATCTAAATCGGTTAATTTGTCAGGTAATTATATTAATTTCAAAATAATTTAAAATGTATTTAAAAAGAAATTGTTTTTCATAAAACATGTATGTGTACCATCATTAAACAAGGTTCTGTTGTCTTTTAACAAATCTAAACATAACTTAATATATTTAAAACTAAATTTAAATTCTATTAAACTTCCATAATCATTTTAAATTAATTTCAAGCAATATTATCCTAATTTAGTTACATATATCTTTATATATTAATAAATGTTAGTATTTCCAGTAGAATGATCCTCAGTTAAACAACTTGATAATAGAAATATTATTTTATTTAGTTTAATAGTTAAAGTTGAATAATCTTTTTTAAATAATTTTAGAGATAAGAATATTTATTGATAAATAAAAATTACTTTAATTATAAAAATTTTCGAACTTATTTATGTCTTATAATAATCTATTAAAATAAATTTTATAAAATGAAGGAAGAGAATAATTAATTTAAGAAAGTATGCTTTTTATTATATAGGGATTTATTTAATTATTTAGGTATTTTAAAATATAATCAACATCAGTTTAATTGTTTTCTTTCGGAAACATTTCATAATAAAATGAAAATATTTTACATGTAGAAGCATAAAACTTACTAATTAATTTAAATATATCTATTTAATTTGTTTTTCTTGCTTCAATTTCATATTATTATAATTGAATTGAATAATGAACAATTCTTTTAATGATTTCAAAATTTAAAATAAAGTCCTTTTTTATAAAATAATAAAAATAAAATAAAAAAGATTATTATTTTTTTACAGATTTTACTTCTAAATTTCTTCTATAATTATGAAGCTAGAATTAATTTAGAACACTGTATAAGGTACAAATCATATTATAGTTTTAAACATCCATTTAAGAGTCTAATTATATATTAGATGGGAATGTTAAATACATTTATTCTAATATTTATATTGGATTAGTTACTTTTTCTAAACCATGAATTATATTTTAATTAAACATTAAAAAAAATATTTTCGAAAATATAGTTTTCATATACTATGTATTTTCTTCTAATTAAATTCCTTATGCATGAATATTTTTAATATATCCTATGTTTAATTATTCTAAATATAAAAATACATTTTTGTTCTCATTTTCTATTTCGTTATTTATTTAGTATATATCTTCGTAATAAGAAAAATATTGAAGATATATTTCTTTTAAAAACAAAAAGTTATATACAGAATTTATTTAATTAATAACAATTTATTCAATAGAAAAAAGCAAATAACTTTTTTTTTGTTATAAAAAGATATAATTAATTATATTTATTTAGAAAAAAAAAAAAAACTTTTTTTAAATTAATAGGTAATGATAGAACTATATGTTTACTAAGTAAAGTTAGATAAATTTAAAGTTCTTATATATATTCTGTATTTTTATTTTTTTAAAATTCAATAAAATATTAAAGATTTGCATCTATATTAAGCAAAAATAATTAAGTCATTTTAGTTTAATTTATATCAAGATTTGCATATTTATTATGATAAATAGTTATTATGAAATCTTCCCAAAAATAAACATTGTCAATTTGTTCCTAAATCCTTTGAAATTTAAAAATATTATAATAATTAAATAGCTAAAACAACGATTCTGATTATAAAATATGTCTTTTGTAAGTAATTACTAAACTAAAAATTATTACTTGAAAATCTTCTTTACAGTTTAAAAAATTTAGGTTTTAAATAATATATTTAAAAGAGAATTCTTATGTATTTAAATCTATTAAGTCATGTTTTTTATAAATCTATAATATAAAAATAAAACTTTCAAAAATTTCAAAATAAATCGTTTTATCATCATTTTACTTAATTAATTCATTTAATACATGAACAAAGTGTTAAATTAGAATGTTATTTGAAATTAATTAATATTTTTCTGATTTTTATATACAAAAATAATAATATTATATATATATATGTATATAAATGAAATAATTTAATTTTTTTTTTAAATAAATTAAATATGCAAATATATATATAAAATTTCATAATTTTTATTACTTATATCTACATTTTGCATAACATTAGTAATAATTTTCAAAGATAAAGTAAGAAAATTAATTTTTTTATTATATTAGTTTATTTATTAAAAAATTAAAGTAGGATAATATATAAAATTTTCAATATTTTCTTAATAAAAGGACTTTACTTAGATTTCTTCTTTTACACTTCTTAAACTTTAGTATTCTTTTTCATCCATTTCTATATCGAAAATTTCATATTACATTTCAATAGAAAGGAAATACAAAATATATAAATATTTATTTAGTTCAAATTCATTTTATTATAATTAAGTATTGTTAAAGTATTAATTAATTAATACAAATATATCTTTATTATATATAAGATTTTAGCTCAAGTACTTTTAAAATAATGAAAAAATTATTCTCATAGGGGTTTTAAATTATTCAATCTAATATACTGTTAAGTTTTTTAAAGTTGAAATAAACTTTACAGAAACAAAGTTCAAAAATTCTATTAATGATTCTTTTTAATAACAAAAATATGACATGTAATTATTCTTTAGATATATTAGAATCTATATTAGCTAGGTTATTTTTATTTCATTTTTTTAACATTCCTACAATAAAATAATATATTATAGTACTTAGTCTTTAAATTCAATTTAAGCTTAGGTATTTTAAGGCTACTAAATATTTAAAGTTTCTATTATGCTTTGCATTTTTTATTTTTTAGAATTTATAAAGTGTTTATTATATATAGTGTATTTTATATTTTTTAGCTTAATTTATAATAAAAAAATTGAAAATATCAATTCTAAATTCAGTTTAAAATACTTAGAAAAATAAAAAAACCTACTATAATTTAGTTTCAGGATTAATTATTAATATTATTTATAAAAAAAAAAAATCTGATTTATTATAGTATTTCTACTTGTTTTTATATTCCATAATTATATATACGTTCAAAGTAAATAATAATTATATTTAATTGTAATTATTTTATACAAAATTATTCTATATAAAATAATGAAAGTAATAATAAATATTATTTTATTTTTATTATATTTAAGATTAAAACTTATAAAAAAAATATATATTATTTTATCATTAAATTTTTTATATTCTTTATTCTAATTCTTAAACATTTTTTTAGATTTAGTTTGAATAAAGCAACAATTCAGGAAAGAGTATTCCGATTTATTTCCATAAAGGAAAAACAATATTTTCTATTAACAAATATGAAAATAAATAAATAAAAAAATGTATAATTTACAGCAAAAGAATACTTATCCTCTATAAAAGCTAACTTTATCTTTGTAAATTAAAAAAGTAGTTAAGGGTAAGTTATTTAATTTTTCTTTTTCGATTTAATCTTGAAACTCTTGTGTAATTAAATAACTCCAATTCATATAATTGTTAAATTATAAGCATGGATTTCCAATATCACATGCATGTATAATTACATTTATTATAAACTAATTGTTTTATAATAAATAAAAATAAATAAAATATGTACTCGTCTATCATCAAAATTATCTTTTTTAAAAGCTTTAAAGTTATCAAATTCGGTTAATTAATTTTCTTATAATTATATTTTCAAACTGCTTTCAACCCTTTTTTCGAATTTTCTATGTATTTTTTAATGTTAAGTCATGTCTGTGGCTAGAATACTTGAAATAAAAATTTTTTTAAACTATGAAATTTGATCCTATATTTATTATATATATTTATTTTTTATATAAGAAATAATCTCCTTAATTTTTTTTTGCTTTTTAACATTATTCTTAAATATATTTTAAAAATTTATTGTGCTGCTTGTTTATAGAAGTGTAAATAATTAAGAACTATGCATATTTTCTAAAACAGCATTTTCATAGTAGTTTAGACTACCTTAAGATTTTTTATTTATTTTATAAATATTATTAAGTCCCTCTTTTTTTTTTTTTTTAATAAAACAAATAGTTTTTTTTATTTTTATTTAAAAGAATAAAATAAAAAAGTCATTAAGTTTTTTAATTTTACTATGATTTAAATCATGTGCCAAACAAGTGATTTAAGCTGAAAAATATTCAAAAGGTTTTATATACTCTTTAATTTAATTAGATTATTGATAAATGCAATAAAACATCTATTTTATATTTATAAATTAGTATATAAAAAAAATATTAATGATTATATATACTTAAAAAACTGAAAATGCATGAGTCCAATTATGATAAGGAATAACATTATATTTTAAACATAATGTTTATATGAATTCTTTTAATTATTAGCCTGTAAAATTAGTTTCATTTTTATAAATTATATCACTATCAAAAATTTTAAAGGTTAATTCACATAATTCCTTATTTGTGTACAAATGCATTTGAAAGTTATGATTTTTAAGCACATTTATATCTTTTAATAAAATGAAGAAGTATATAATAAAATGCAATCGTTTTTTTTATATTTATTATTTAAATTTACCAAAGTTATTCATTCTTTCTAAAACATTAATTTTTATATCATGTATTAATGGAATCATTTGTTTTTTTTATTATTCATATTTTATTCTAAAAGTATCTATGTCTCTTTCGTTAAACTTTAACTTATTTTCATTTTCTCTTTTAAATTATTTTATTGTTTTTAAGAATTAACCATAAATATGTTATGCATTTTATATTTATAGAGTCTTTTTTAAATAAATAAGAAAAATTCAATAATTTATTTAATTTTTTGGATTAAATATACTCAATTATTATTTATTTTTATTTACTTCAATTTGCACTTCTGTTTATTTTAATATTTATTAGTAGAACTCGAATTCTTTTAAATCTTATTAATCTAGTTTTGGTAAAAGATATTCTTCAATAAATTTAAACTAATAAAATATACTTTTTTAATATTTTGATAGTATAATATATTAATAAAAAATACCTCTTTATGCAGCTTTTATATAAATGTATTTGAGTTTAGAATAAAATCATTTTGAGACATTTTATGAATTATTTTTTTGATATGTATTTAATATTTTTATTTATTTTTTGTTTTTAAAATTTTTATATTTATTATGTTGTTTTGTTTTTAAGTTTTTTTGATAATTATTATTTTATTTAAATTTAAAATATAAAATCACGTGAAAAATAATCATTTTTATTGTTATTTTTAATTTTAGTGCCATTTTTAAATCAATAATTTAATTGATTTTATTTTTTTTACAAAAAAATATAATTTAGTTAATTATATAAAAATATAAACAATGAAAAAAAAAAAAAAAAAAAATTTTTCAAAAGAAAATATTATAAAATATATTCTTTTTTAAATTATTAAATATAAATAAAATATTAAATAGAATAAATAAATTAAATTATTTTACTTAATAAACAAAAAATAAGAAAAATAAAAATGAATCAATTAAAAATAAATAAAATTAAATAATTTAATCATATTCAATATATAGAATGTAATAAAGGTGGAAATCATTAAGGAGAATCTTTAAATAGTGTATGCATAGATAGAACATGTCACGATAAAGGTTTAATATGTTCTATATGCGAATAAGAATTTCACAAACAGCATTAAATTATTCCTTTGAAGCTATTCGCAAATGAAATGTTAAAAATGAACAATAACGAAGAAGAGGCAAATAATTAAGATCAATTAAGTAAAATTTAATAATTAGAATAAATAGATAAATATCGTGAAACCTTAATAAAATAACTATAGGATTATTAATAATTAATATAGAATAAATTAAGTTAATGTATGTAGAAAACAAATGACTTTTTTGGAGAGTTTAAAGAGCGTTTTTTAAAACAAATTTCTTTTCATGAAAATCCTGTGAATAATATTTTTGAGAAAATAATAAAAGGAGATTCTGAAAATTTTGAGAAATTTAAAAATTAAATAAATTAAATTTTCGATTAAATTAGTTTTGATGAAAAACAAAAATATAAACCTTATTATAATCTCAATATTGACTATGCACTTAATATTTTGAAAACAAAACAATAGGAAATTTCTTAAACGAATATATAATTATTAGAACCATTAAATAAAATAGTTAGTAAAGTCACTAGTACATTTGAAGAACTTCCCAATCTTATTTTCTTTAAACCATATACTAGTCCGGATAAATAATTTTTTTTTTCACCTATTTTAAAAGGAAATAAAATAAAAATTTTCTCACCTACTATTGCTTAGTAAACTGCTAATGAATCAAGTGGGTAAAGATTTGCTATTGTTTAACCTAATTTCGACCTTTCTTATAAGTAGAAATGGGGCTTTAAAATAAATAAGCTTGTAGGGTGGATTGGAGTTGGGATTTGTCATGTAAATGTATTAGCGGGATTTTAATATAATTTTAAATATACTGATGTTGGGCATGGCTCATATCTTGTTTCAGGAAACGGTTACACTTGGTCACATTATAAAAGTGAAAATAATTCAGCGAGTAAAAGTTTTAGTTTTGCTACTGGAGATATCATTTATGGAGAATTTGATCCGATTAATAAAGTTGTTAAGTTTGTGAAAAATAAAACACTTGAAAATTATACACTTGAGATTGATTTGAAATTAGGAGATGAAATAGCCCCTTGTGTTAATCTTTGCTCAATTAACGATGAAGTCGAAATCATTTAGAATTCTTCGGAATTGGATCTTATTTAGTTTTGATTTTTTTTTTTTATTTATTTAAATAAAAAATTTATAGGGGTTTTTTTTTTTTTTTATTTATTTTTTAAAGGATAAAAGAAATATTTTTTTTTTTTTTTTTTAAGTATAATAATAATTAATATATTAATAATATTTAATTTTTTGATAAAATAAGATTAATAAAAATACTTTAAAAAACAAAATAATCTAAATGATAGAAGAAGAAAACTAAAATATAGAATTGGTTCAACTACATTAAATATATTAAAAAATAAAAGAAATATCATCGGAAAAAGGAGTTTTAAATTTAAGCTAAATATAGTCTTCGAATAAAATTGAAAATAAAAAAGAACTTACGGATTTACTTTTATCAGATTTATAATTAACAAAATATTATAAAACAATAATTTTAAATTATAATTAATTAGAAGAAACAATAAACGATACTAATAAATAAATAAAAGGAAAAAAATATCACGAAATTTGCCAAAATTATTAGTTTTTGGGTATAAATATATAAAAAAATGATAATATAGAATTAATTATTCAAAATAAATACATTTATAATTATGAATTAATAAACTTCGAAATATATATTCCTGAAAATACTAAATAAATTTTTGAAAATTTTTAATATTTAATCAATAATATTAAATAATTACAGGAGGGACTTAAATATGATGATATTGTTTTTATTTTAAATATAAAACTTGAAATCACTAATGAAAAAAGTAGAAACCTTATTTATAATTTTTTAAATATTTTATAATAAAATGGTGTTTTTTTAGAATAAGTTATTTTCGTTTTAAATTTACCCTCTAATAATTATAAGATAAGCCCTTAAAAATACAGCTTTTTATCTTTAATTTTACTTTCTAACGCTTTACCAGCTTGTATTTAAGGTGTTCTATTTTCTTTTGGAGGTATTTTAGATGCTAAATACCATGGGGAATTTTTTAATGAAGTTTTTAATATGAAAGTGATTAATTTTTGGAGTTTTTCGTTTTGTACAAGCATGGAAAATTTAGAGTTTTTACATGAAAAATGGAATAAGAATAATAAAGATATGAATAAAATATATATTTAAAGCTTTTTTGATAATATTAGTGATTCGATGACTAATGGATGTATTGGAGAGTTCAAAATTAAAGAAGAAGTGCTTTTTAAAGATGGAATTATTTAAATGGGAGATTAAGTATGATGAATTTTTAATTAATATTATTTTATTATTTGTATATTAATTTAATTTAGAATATATTTTATTTTTAAATATATAATAAATTAAGAACATTTTTTTTCTTTTTCTTTTTTTATTATCAATTATTTCAATATCTATTATATTTCTCATTTTTATTGTTTTAATACTTTAAAATATATAAAAATAAAAATGTCTCTTTTAAATCATTTTTAATAAATATTGCCTGATAATTATTTATGGGAAGAGAATAGAGATATAATCTAATAATTATAATATATTACTAAACCCTATTGTTTATCTTAAAATATACATGTTATTATATACGGTATATCTTTCTTTGTCTACATAAAACAATTATTTATTAAATAAAAAATTGAAGAATTAGAAGAATTAAAAAGAATATTTAATACTATAAAATAAAAACTTAGTAATTATGAATAATAATACTTAATACATTTATAGAATGGTTAAATAAACTTACTCAAGATTATTATTAAAAAAAATACTAATAATTTATTTAATTATGTTAAAGCTTGTTTTTGATTAATTGGATGATTAATGTTTTTAATAAGCTTTAGATTTTTCAGCTAATATATATTATCATTTCAGAATATTAACTAAGTTTAAAGATGATAAAGAACATCAATAATATATTAAAAATTTACTTTTTAATGAACAGTTAATTTAGGATTTTAATAAAACCAAAATGACGTATGTTTCGATATTATTAGATATGCAATTCTTGCTAATATATTAATATGCTTTTTAGTTTTTTGCAAGTGTTTTTGAAAATGAAAATAGACAAAGTTTTTTTGGATTACTTTTAAATTAAGATGATAAAAAAGTCAGAATTATTTATAAAATTTCTTTGAAAAAAATATATTCTATCTATATTTAATTTGAATAATCTTAAAAAAATATTACTAAATTATTAAAAGAAAAAATAATTTATAAAAAAAAAAATCAGAAATGAAAATAATATAAAAAATCAAAAATAAGAAATTGAAGAAAATAAATAAAAAATATAAATTATATAAAAAATATAATAATTATAACTTGAATTAAATAATATATAATAATAATAATAATAATAATAATAATAATAATAATAATAATAATAATAATAATATTAAGTTTTTTTAAATATATGAAATAATATTTAGTTTTTAATATAAAATGTTATATTTATTATTTTTTATAATTTAACATTTATTATATTATTTTTTTCATACTTTTATTTATATTTTTATATTATATTTTTATCATCTATATTTTTTTTTTAATTTTTTTTCTTTATTCATATATTTTTATTATTTATTTTTCAAACTAACAAATACATTTTATTTAAAATATTAAGTCTTTTATTATTTTTTTTTTCTCTTAATTTATTATAAGTTGATTTATTTAATTTAATATTTGATATAAATATTTTTTTTAATTATTATAAATATATAGTTATATATATTTAAGATTATATGATTTTTTTTTTTTTTAATCAAATTTTATTATATAAATTATTATTTTCTAAATAATATTTTTTGTTATTTATTTAATAATAAAATATTTTTTATTATAATTATATAATTTTTTTAAATTTAAATTTATATTGTTTGCTTAGTTATTATAATTTTTTTTTTATTTATTCTAATTACTATTTAAAATAAAATCTTTTATATGCATTTTGATTTGTAACTTTTTTTATTTATAATTCATGAACTAAAAGTAAATTATATTACTAATTTATTTTTGTAAAAAAAGTATTTACTTATATTTACAAATATTAAATTAAATTTAAATTTATTTTTTGAAATCAAATTATTAATATTAATATTATATTTTTTTAAAAAATAAAAACTTCAAAAAAAATAAAATAATTTATAGTTTTTTAAGAATTTATATAATAAAAAAAAAACAAATGGACAATTATCATATATTACATTAAATAGGAGAAGGTTCATTCGGAAAAGTATATAAAGGCCGTCGAAAAAATACAGGTTAAATATTAGCATTAAAGTTTATTTCAAAAAGGTAAATATATATATATTTAAAAATACATAAATAAAATAACAAAAAAATCAATAAATAAAAAGAAATAAAACTGAAAAAGATTTAGCCAATCTGCGTTAAGAAATTTAAATATTAAAGCGTTTAAAACATGAAAATATAATTTTACTTTTAGATGCATTCGAAACTCCTCACGAATTTTGCGTTGTCACTGAAGTAAAAAAAAAAATGAAAAAAAAAGAAAAAGAAAAAAAAAGTTCGCACAAGGAGAATTATTTGAAATATTAGAAGATGATAAAAGCTTACCTGAGCCTGAAGTTCGAAAAATAGCTTAATAATTAGTCCAAGCATTATATTATTTGCATTCTAATCGAATAATACATCGAGATATGAAGCCTTAAAATATATTAATTTCTGCAAACGGAGTAGTAAAATTATGTGATTTTGGCTTTGCTAGGGCTCTTTCAACAAATACACAAGTCCTAACATCTATAAAAGGGACACCATTATATATGGCACCTGAATTAGTAAAAGAATAGCCTTATAATCATACTGTTGATTTGTGGTCTTTAGGAGTTATTTTATATGAGTTATTTGTAGGTCAACCCCCTTTTTATACAAATTCAATTTATAAATTAATCGATTTAATAATAAAAGACCCTGTTAAATATCCAGACAATATGAGTCCTGAATTCAAGGATTTTCTTAAAGGACTTTTAAATAAATAGCCTTCTGAAAGATAAGATTGGCCTTAATTACTGGAACATTAATTTATCACGGAAACAGAATAAGAAAAAATTGAAAGAATAAAAAGATTAGAATAATACTAATAATGGGCTGGATTATAAGAAGTTAATTTAGATGAAACTGCTTAGCCAGTAATTTAATAGATGTAAATTCCTTAAACGCCGACAAGTGGAAATACGGGAAAAAGAAAAGGGACTTCAACGCCTACAAATAAAAATAATAATAATAATAATAATAATAATAATAATAATAATAATATTATTAATAATAATGGAAATATTTTAGCGTTTGATAATGAAACTTTGGCAAAAAATATTACTTTGAGTAATGTTAGTTATAATAATAGGGATATCTCACCGAGAAAAATAGGAATTTGCAATGATGAGTTGTGGAATAAGTATTTATAAATATCTAAAGATGATTAAGGATTAAATGATTTAAGAAAAGATATTTCTTTTCTTGATAATTTTCTTTAGTTATTAAAAACTCCAATTAATGATATTTTAAAAAAAGATAAGAAAAATGTTGTTATTACTGGACTTAATGTAAACATTTTTTTTATTATTTTTAAATATATTTTAGATTTTCAATCTCATTATTAGTAGAGTAAAATAAGATGATGATAATAAAATTGATATAACTAAAAATGGAGTTATTTCAGGATTACTTATAAATTAATTAAAAAATATTATTAAAATAGATGAAGGAAAAAATACATTAGATATATTAAATGAATTAATAAAAGCAGTATGCCTATTGTCAAAAAATACTTTCGATAAAAGTGTTGGTATTGAAAGTATTTACATTACTTAATTTATGCCTTTACTTTCGGTTTTGATTAAAATTGGATAGATTGCTAATGATATTCCACATTAATAATTATTAATTAATATAGTAATTTTATTTAAAAAATAAAATATGTAAAATAAAATTACATTATATATATTTATCTTTTTTTTATTTTTTTTCCCCTTCTCTTCCCAATAAAAAAGTTGAAAACTATTGGAATTTTCGGAAATCAAGCTAGTGTTAATACTATAAGAAATTTCAATTTTTATAAAAGCATTATTGAAATTAAATTTTCTTAAGATATTATATGTTTATTTAAAACAATGGAAAATGTAAAATAATATATATATGTATATATATATATATATATTACATAAAGGCATAAAATCTTCATAATTTTATTCTTTAAGTATTAGTTGTATTAGTTCATCCAATATATGGAGATATATTTTCTTTTCCATGGAAAAGAGGTTAAAGTGGTGCTGTATAGGAATTTTGCGAATGTTTACCAGTATTTGAATGCTTAAAACAATAAATATTTACAAATTTAATAGAAATAGATTTTCTTCCAATAATAACACGATAATTTAATACTTAATCAGAAGATGAGTCTTCTAAATTAACAAAAATATCAATTTTAAGATTAGTTTTGTAAGGAATTCGTATTTAACGCGAAATTATAGATAAAATGCTTGTAAATAAGCCAATTTTATAAATAATTAATATGTGTATATATAATGAGGAAATAAATATTTGCGGTACTGGAATGCAAATAATGATTCATATATTAAAACATATTTAAAGTAAAAAAGAAATGAATTATTAAATGAATACAATGTCTGAAATATTAAATATCAATATATAATATTTATTAGATAATATAGAGAAAAATCTACATAATAATCCCATAATATCAGTTATTTCAATAAATTTATTGGCTGAAATGCTCCAAAATGATAATTTTTATTCGTAAGCAATAATATAGAAATTTCAAAGTATAAATTCTTACAAAATTCTAATTGAATTATTAAACCCGTCTCGAAAAATTAATAAAATGGAAGAAATTAGACATATAGAGGGTTCAGGTTTCGGATGTCCAGTGTATGGATTTAATGATTGTATTATTTATTTTTTATAAAGGCTTCTTTTCAGATACCATAAAGAACATCGAAAATTATAAGAGCTTTTCATACTTTTCGAATAGAGTGGTTTAGATTTATAAATATTAAATATTTTACTAAATTTAAACTAAAAAAGTGATATTTCGCCTAAAGGGTTTGTATCCTTTTTAATTTTAGTACACGATATTATATTCAGTGATTTTTTTTCGTTTTCTCAGAAGATTTTCTAGGAGAAAACTTTAAGAATAATGTGTGAGATTCTAAAAGAAAACTAACTAAAAGCACTAAATGAATGGCCAAATTCAAACGGAGGAGGAATGATGTGTGTACATTTAATAACTGCACAGCTTTTAAGAATTTTTAATTTACCTTTCACTTAACCTTTTTAGGAAAAAGAATTGGAGAAAACCATCAAAGAACTAAATTCATCAGAAATAATAGTCTCAACTTTAAAAACAATCCAATATTTATAAAAAGAGCATATTGGTATTGCTATTTAATTACTTTCAAGGCTAATTTTATCCAATGAAGATGATAAATAATTCGCTTAATAGTTTATTTAAAATAATGGACTTTTTGCAATTAAAAAATTCAATGTATTAAATTCGGTGGAAAATCCGCCTAATGTAATTATTGATGCCTTAAATATTTTAAGTTAATTTGCAAGAATATCAAAAAACTATTACGAGAATGTGCATTAAATTGATATTTATGCGGATTTAAAAAAACTTATAGGACATAAAGAAGCTAATGTAAGGGCTAAAGTGTGTAATTTTATAGGAAACATATGTAGACATTCGAGTTATTTTTATGATGTTTTACTCAAATTCGATTTGATTTCTTCATGCATTGAATGCTGTAAAGATCCAGATAAATTCACAAGAAAGTTTGCATGCTTTGCTGTTGGAAATGCAGGATTTCATAATGCAAGCCTATATGAACATTTAAGACCAGTCATTCCTTTATTGGTGAATCTTTTAAAAGATCCAGAAGAAAAAACTAGGGCAAATGCAGCAGGAGCATTAGGAAATTTTGTTAGAAACTCAGATATTTTAACTAAGGATTTGATCAGATTTGGAGCTTTACATGCTATGTTAGATGTTGTTTTGAATGATTTAGGATAGGTATTTTTTTTAAAAAAAAATTGTTGTTGCTTTTTTTTTTATTGTTAATATTTTTTTTTTTAGTCGCCAAAAAGAATTGCTTTGTTTTCAATTGGAAATTTATGTATGTATTAGGAATGTAGATAAGTTTATATTGATATTGGAATTTATGAAGTTATTGTATAGATTTAAAATACTTAAGGATAAGATGCTTAGATTTTAAAATATGCTAATAGGATTTTACAAAAATTAAGTAAGATTTTTTTATATATTTTTTTGTTTAAAAAAAAAAATAGATTAATTAAGTTGAAAAAAAATATATAAAATAAATATTTATTTTTATGTTTTTATTTTATATATAATTTAATTAATAAATATATAAAAAAATATATATGTAATAAATATATATAAATTATTTTAATAAAATATATTGGGTATTTTCAAATAATATTTTCTACAAACTTTAATAGTTATTTTTCAAAAAGAAGATTCCATAGTTTAATCATATTTTAATTTGCAAAAAAAGCCTTTTAATTTTATGAATATTCAATTTCATTTTTATTTTCTATTTCATTTAAAATCTCATCTATTTAATTTTCATTTAAAAAATTTATTTTTATTCCAAATCTTTCTTTTTAAAGTATTTTTTTCACTAAAATTATATAAATTTCATCTGAACATCCTGGAATCGGGTATATATTATTATATTTAAATTATATATCCAAATAAATATACTAGTCTTCGAATTTCGGTATACTTTTGCCTTCTTTTTCAACTATTTTTTAACCAAAATTTTTATTTTTTATAATTATAGCACCCGTTTGTTAATCATTAAGTTCCGAAATTTCCATAAAAACAGCTAAAATATTTAATTTATCTTCCTCATTTTCCACAAAAAAGTCAATAATATCCTATTTAGTGACTTCTAAAGGAACATTATAAAATTAAATAGCAAATATATTCATTTAATGATTAATTATTATATCCTTTAATTCATTCACAAACATTTCTCTTTCATCCAAATCATTATCATTTTAATCTTGATCTTGATCTTCATCATCATCTTTTTCAGTTTCAAATTCATCCAAAAGTTCATCGTTTTATTCTATTTACGCTATTTCTTAATCGTTTATATATATTATTTATTCATCGATATCGCTTAGTATATTATCTATTAGTGGTAAACCGTCTTTTGTATAATAATATGTTTTATTATCTATTTCGTCTTTCCAACCACCATATTTGTTATAATAGTATATTTTTTGTGGATTTTCTTCTAAATAAAATCCAGATTGATCTTCTAGTTCTATATATTCTTGGAATTTTTCGGGATTGTGGCCTGTTTTTTCGAATTATTTTTCCATTATGAATTTTTTTTTTTTGAATTTTTTTTTTTTTTACGGAATTTAGAAAAAATATTTAGCTTAAAAAAATATGTTTTTTTTTTATATTTTTTTAAAAATAAAAATAAAAATAAAAATAAAATATTATTATAGTTTTTTAATCTGTAATTAAAGAGGTTTTTTATTTATTTATAAATTTATATCAGATAATTGATTTTATTTACTATTAAATAATTAATTTTATTTAGTTAAAAAATATTTTATATATTTATAACAATTATATATCAATTTATGGAATGCATGCATATTCAATACTTTATTTTATTATAAATATAATTTTATTCATATTATTTTTTTTAAAAAAAATGCAAAAGAATTATGCCTAAAGATACATAAATATTTTTTTTTTTGGAAGATTTTATGAATTTTAAAAAAATATCACTTTTTTTTAATTTTTTGACCGAACTTTTAAAAAGACTTAAATAAAAAAAAACATTAAATTTTTTTTTGTGTTTTAATTTAAAAAAAAAATAAAAAATAAAAAACTAAAATATTAAAATAATAAAATGGGTTGTGGAAATACTAAAATACATAGAAAAGCAAATAAAATAATAACAAGATTAGAATCAAAAGAATAATAAATTAAATCAATAATTGAAAATAAGAATAATTTTTATAATAAATTCAATATTAAAAAATTATAAAATTAACTGAAAATGAAATAAATAATAATTAATCAGATAAACAAAAATAAGTATAATTAATTGTCAAAAATCATAACAAAAATTAAGATTTAAAAAATAATAAAGAATATATTAAATCCAGAAGCATTAATCTAAAAATGATATAAAGCTAAGCTACTGATGTTGAATTGAAGAAAAATTTATATCAGTAAGATTAAAAAAATAAAGAATATATATAATAATAAATACCTATTTAATTAAATAAAGATTCTTAATAAAATTGTTCAGATTAATAAATTAATAAACTAAAAAAAAAAAAAACTTAAATATATTTAAAATTAATTTAACTTAAAAGGTAACGAAGAATAATAATGGATTTAATTACTCTAGGGGCTTGAAAATTCAAACATAATAACTAAAAATAATTTTATAAATGACTTTTCATATGAAATTACTTTATAATAAAGTGAATTATAAAGCTGTTTTTAATAAGAAAATAGTTTGTATATGAAATAGTTGGATTAAAATATAAAAAATCATTAAATATAATAGTAAAATTAATGAAATATATGAATTAAAATATTTTAATAAAATAAATTAATTTTAACATTTTTTTTTTTTCTAAATTAAATGCTATAGTCAAATATATTTATTTTAAAATTTTTTCAATGTTTTTTATTTTATTTTTTTCATTTTTTTTTTTAATTAATGAAAATATATCAAATTATAATTATTTGTTTTTGTATTTTTAAAAATTTTTTCAATATAAAATAAATTTAATTTTAAATAAACAATAATAATTACAAGTTATAATATTTTTAAATCGGAAGAAATATTTTATTTTTTTAAAAAATAAAAACAATCGCAAAGAAAATAAAAAAAGTATGAGTATCTAATAAAAGTCTTTATAAGGATTCGAAAAAGAAGAAAAGTATTATAAATAAATTATAAAAAACAATAAATATAAAATACAAAAAACAGGAAAAACTACGAAGAGTTTATTGAAAAAAGTATAAATACATTAAGATAGGAAGGTCTAAAATTCGAATAATAACAAGAATAAAATTGCAAATAAATAGGCGAATAATGTAAACAAGAATGGGAGACAAATGTTTAAAATTTAGAAGAACTTTTTAAAATGTTTTGTGTATTAAAAGGTTAGAAAAGAAAAAGAATTAAAATAATGAATAACTCATGCCGATTCATATATTAGAAAAACTTATTAAAAAGAATGTTTGGTTTATGGAAAAGAGAAAATCAATATGAAGAATATTTAAGAAAACAAGAAGAGTATTTAGATATGTAATATAATAAACAAATGCTTTAAAGTGTATTAAGATAATGGTAAAATATTGTTATTTAAGAAAATAAAACCGTAATTAAAAATACTACTCTTAGAAAAACTGAAATTGAATTGTAAAAAAATTAGAAAGAATACGAATAGTAAATTAAAATTTAGAAAGTCTACTTTATAATAAAATGATAACTCTTAAAAATGAAGAAAATTAATTGTAATTATTAAATTAGAAACATTAATTATTATTGTAAAATTAATAAGTTGAATTTGATTGATTTTCCATGATTTTTTTTTTTTAAAAAAAAAATATTTTTATTTTTGTTGTTATTTAATTTTATTTAGTGGATTTTATATATTAATTTTATATTTTTTTCTTGAAAAAAAATAAATAATAAAAATATTGATATATATATATATATATATATATATATATATATATTTTTTTTATATATGTAAAAATTAAAATTAATATTTTTTTTATTGTATTAAAAATATAATATAATAATATAAAACAAAAATTTAAGAAAAAAAATAAAAAAAAATAGTTAAATAATTTAAATAAATTTAATAAGTATAAAAAAAATATTGAAAAAAATATTATAACTTATATATATACATAGTAAAAATGAAATAAATTTATTTTTCTTTTTATATATATTATATAACTTTTATTCTTTGAGCAATTTGAATTTATTTATTTTTTCTTTAAAATTATATAAATTTTAATAATTTATTTATTATTATCAAAATTACGTTAAAGATTATGTTTTATTTTTAATTATATCACTTTATTAGTTAGTGTTATTTGAATTATTTCCACTTTCGCATTCTTCTTCTAGCATTTATTTCATTTTAAGTTCAGCTAATTTTAACTATTAAGATTTCGTTAAAAATTACTTTTTATCTTTAATTTTATCGTAAGATTAATTACTATTTTTTTTTGAATCACTGTCAATTTCACACTCTTCTAACATTTATTACATTTTAAGTTCAACCAACTTAAACTATTGAGATTTAGTTAATATTTATTTTTTATCTTAAATTTCATATTTAAATTAATTGCTACTTTTTTTTGTATCGTTAATACTTTCACACCCTTGTAAAATTTATTTCATTTTAAGTTCAGTCTATTTTAATTATTATGATTTCGTAAAAGTAAGATTTTATTTAATAGAATTTTAATCCATATAGCTTGATTATTGAGATGTTTAGAGGGTTTAATGAACTAATTATAATTATTTTAAAGGATTTGTAGTAAGGTTGCTTTATTTTTATATATTAGAGTCACATATATTATAATCGACTAAATTTTTAGATTATAAATCTTTTGATTATTCAAATGATGTTTATAAATTTTAATCATTATTATCTTAATTTTAAAACATTATTTAATTCATTTTTTCTAATAAATTTTATTATCTTAAAATTTATTATTCATGAATTTATTATTCTTATAAAATAACAGATGATATATATTCTTAATTATCATTAGTTTATACTTTAAAATAAAAATATAAATATATAAAAAATATAAAAATTTGATTAATATAAATATATATATATATATATATATAAATATATATTAATTATATTTAATTTTAATTCTTTTTTATAAAAAAATTTTTTATATATATTTTTTTTTATTTTTAATACATTAGTGTTTTATTTCTTTCTACATTTATTTTTATTATTAGCTATCTTAGTTTATTCTTTTGTTTTCTATTTACTTTTTTATTTAATTATTGCTAAGATTACTTTCTTATAAATTGTTATTTTCTAATTCTTTTTCGTTTGATGAAAATTATTATTTAGTAGTTTAAGTTAGTAATTATTTTAAATTTCCGAAGGTCAATGGTCTTTCCCATGCTTATGAATCTTAACTTATAATTGTTTTTATTTAAACTATTGAATATTAGCTAACTATACTTTACCCTAATTTTAAATCTTTTATAGCTTTTGTGAAAAAATTTTTAGCTTTTCCTTTTTCAAAAAATTTTGATGAAAGTGCATTATTATTATTATCTTAATCATCTTTTTTTGTTTTTTTTTAATTTATTAATTTTATTCATTTTACTTAATTTTCTTCCTTATTTAAACAAATTTTATGATTATTTTAATTTATTATCTTAATATTATTATCTTACAAGATAACCTTAATTTATTCTTTATTATGATTTTCTACGTGCTATTAAAGCGTCTATTGATTGATCTATTTTAGTATCATTTAACTATTCATAATTCATTTCATCTATTATTTATAATATATATATATATATAAATATATATATATTTATATATATTTATATATTATTAAACATTTATATAAATTATACTTGAATTTAAAAATTCTTATTTTAATAATTCGCTAGCACTTAATCTACTTTCAGGGTTTTTACTTATCATATTATATAAAAATTTCTTCATTTCATTACTGGTGTTTTTTGACAAATAAAATGGAATTTTGTTTTTCACTTTTTACTTTACTTCTTCTAACGAGTATAGCTTTTTTCCTTTATACCAGGGATGGCTTCCAATTATCATCTTTTTATTATTGTAAATAAATAAAAATATATTATTTAATTTATATAAATACTTAAATAAATATTATACCAGCACTCCATATATCTGATGCATATAATAGTTTATCTTCATTTAATACCTTTTTTTTATAATTTTTTTTTTTTTTTTTTTTTACTTCTGGTGCACTCCAGTACCCTTTTAAATAATTAATATTATTAAAAATATTAATATCTGTTAATTTTATATTTCCATCATTATCAACTAAGATATTATTTGGTTTTAGATTACTTTTTTGTTAAAAAAATGTTTGTTTTTTTTTTTTTAAGTTTAGACTAAAAATATATTTAAAATACCCATGAACAATTTTATTTTCATGTAAAATTTATAAAGCTGAAATAATTTAAATTAAAAAATCTTTTGCTAAATTAATTTAGAAGTTATTAAAAGTACTTAATAAAAATCCAATAGAACCTCCAGAAACAAATTCTTATAAAATATCTAATCCTGAATATTTTTATTTAATGATGAATAATAAGAATAATAAAAAAATAAAAAACCGTTATCTTCATTTCTAACAATATTATTATAAAAACATAATGAATCATGATTTTCTTATAATTAAAGTAATTATTATGTAATTCTTAAGTTTAATTCTAATTTTATAATTTCATTTTAATTATACTATATATTTATAAAAATAAGATTTTAAATAAATAAATTAAAAAATAATACTGATTTAATAGCCAATATTTCACCATTCATTAAATCTAATCCTTAGACAACTCTTTCTACATTATTTTTAACTTTTGCTTTTTTATAAGCAACATTACTAGCATCTTAAATTATTGTATAAGGTTATATTTAATCATCTTAATTATTTATATAATAATTATCTTCTTTTATTATTTCTTTAATTTAATTTATTTCGTCTTCTTATTCTTCTTAAAAATCATCGTCTACTTCGTTATCTTATTAACTATAACTATCAGTTCCGAATTCTATTATTTAAATTAATATATACATATACATATACATATAGATATATATATACATATACATATACATATACATATACATATACATATACATATACATATACATATAATTTTTTTTATTTATTTTCTTTTTATTTATTTTCTTTTTACTTTTTTAATCTCTAAATTTAGGTTTATAATTTTATTTTTTTATTAGTTATTTCAATTTTTATTTTCTATATTTATATTACAATCTATATAATCTTCTTCTTATAAATTTAAAATACAATTAATTTCATTTTCATCTTCTTATTCTTCATTTTCACTATTATTATCTAAATAATTATTTTAATTTTATTCTTTCTTATCATTATTATTATTTTTCAATAAAAAATCCTACATCATTCTTCTAATGGGATCTTCTGAATATTCCACTTTTTCTATATTTAAATTATATATTTAATTAAAATTTTAATTATTTTAATAAATATTATTAGAAATATTATCAGTCAACTTTTTTGAATTTATAATATTTTTTCTTTTTAAGTCTCTTCTTCATTTTCATATTTTTAATTATACATAAAAATTTATTTTAAAAAATAATACCTTCATTTTATATATTGGGTTTTTATTAATCAATTTAAATATTTAAATTTGGTATTAATATGTTAAATTTTTATTATATTTTTTAATTCAAACTTTATTTTTATGTATTTATTTTTATCTCATTATTTTCTTGTTTTAATTATAAATCTATTTTATTTTTTTAGGTTTGGTTATTGATTTACTGTTCCCCATTAAATTTATGACAAATTATATATTTTTTATTTATTTTAAAATTAAAATAAGTTTTATTTTTAAAAAATTTATTTTTATATAAAAAAAACAAACAATGATATACATATTTTTTATTTCATTTTTTATTAAAAAGCTTTTATTTGTCCATAAGCTTTTAATAGATTAATTATTATTTTTAATATTCGATTTTTAAACATTAAACTGTATCATTATATAATTTATTATATATTTAATCATAAGTTAATTTCTAAAAACCGCTTTCAGTAGCTAATCTATTATATTCTTCTATTAATAAATTTATTTATTTTTACCTATTTACTCTATCACTTATATTTATATTTTTTAATGTTTATGTAAGTAAGGCAATTTGTTAATCTGACCATTTAATATCTTCTGTATGTATTTATTAAGGTAATGTTTATTTTTTATTATTATTTTTTTTGTTTTATTTTGTATTAAGTATTGTTGTTTGATTTAATAATTTATATGATTTTCTATCTACTTTTTATATTATTTTATCAAAATATTAATCAAATTCTATATTTGTAATATTTAATTATTATTATTATGTATTTAGTTGATTTTCTATGTTTTAGTGATTTTAAAAATTTTCTTTTTCTATTTTTTTTACAATTATATCAACATATTTTTCATATTTTTCTATTGATTGTATTTTTAAGAAATCTTGTTTTTCGTTTTGTTTATTTTTGTCATTTAAAACATATTTTTGGTATAGTTTTTGGAAATTTTTAGGAATTTAATACTCTATATTTATTTTTTTCAATTAATCTTTAAGGTTTTTTATTTCTCGGAGATTTTAATTGCTAAACATTAAATAAAGAGATATTTTTTTATTTTAATAAAAAAAATAATTTTTAAATATATTTTTTGCTAAGAAAATATAGTATAATTATTATACTTTTTAAAAAAAATAAATATTGCTTTTTTATATATATTTATTAATCAATTTTTTATTTATTTTGTACATTTTTTATTATTTAATAATTTTTTTATCTTTCTTTCTAAAAAAAATTCGAAATTATAAATAAAATTGATTCTTAATTTTTTATATATTTAAATTATTTTTTTAAAATTAAATAATTTTTTATAATTAATTATATAATATTTTTTTTTTTTGTAAAATTTAACATTTTAAATTTTTCTAATTAAAAAAAAAAAAAAAATATTAAAACTAAAAAATAAAAAAAAAAATGAATTTATAAGGTAAAATAAATATTTATTTCTTAAAAAAAAAGTAAGAAAAATAAAATACAAAAGAATGGAAATAAGAATATAAAGGAATAAAACATAAATTATTTAATTTTGATAAAGATTAAGGAAAATAATTATAATTAAATAAAGCTTGTAATTAAAAAAATGAAATAGGTCAAATATAAAAAAATTCAGAATCTTTAGAATTTGAAAGACAAAAAGAAAAAGATTAAATTTTTAAATAAATAAAATAAATAAAATTAGATACCGAAAAATTTAAGGACAAATTAAAGCAATTTGAAAAAACACCGTAATATTTATAAAAAATATAGGAAATTTCAGAAAAATTAGAAGATAAAATTAGTGAATTTAAGTCTTAATAAATGCGAATATTTGATTAAATGGCAGAAGAAGAAGACTTATTAGATTAAGAAATATAAATTTTTAATTAAAGAATTAATTATTATGAAAACTCTTAATTTACAACGGAATAAAATATAAAAAATAATCATAATATATTTAAAATAAATGAATAAATTTAAGAATAAGAAGAAAATGAAGATGAAGATGAAGATTAAAATGATGAAGATGTATTAAATATTATATTTTATTTTTAAATTGTTGAATATTTAAGAAAAAAAAAAAATAGAATTTTAAAGAAAACATAAATAATTTAAATATAGAAATAAATAAAATAGATAAATAATTATTATAATTAAAATAAAAAATAAACCTTATAGATAAAAAAATAATTCTTTTAGGAGATAAAAATTTAAATTGGCCGAGTTAAGACCATTAAGATTTCTTAAAACTAAGAGTTAAACATAAGAATATAATAACAAAATAAGTAAAAAAATAATAATAATAAATAAATTTTCAAAAAAAAATATATAATTAAATTATAAATAATTTATATTAAAAGCAAATTTTAATTTTGATTTAGTTAATATAATAAAAAAAATGAAAAATAAAAATAAAAATATCAAGAAAAATATATATACATAATAATATATAAGTAAATTTATTATATATATAAATATTTATATTTTTATTTATATAATAGATATTTTTATATATTTATATATATATTATTATTAAAAAAGGCTTTTTTTAATGATTGTTTAAGTATTCTACCTATGTATGATATGAATTAAATAAAAGAACATATAGATAAGTTTTAGATTTATCTTTAATTTGAAGAAGAGAAGAGAAATTTGATGTGGAATTATAAAAATTTAAAAGAAGATAAAAAAAAGAATTAAATAAAAATATTAAATTAAGAAGAGGAAGAAAATAAGTATAAAAATGAAGAAATTGAAAATCTTAAACTTATAGAAAAAATAAAAAAGGAATAATAAAAGGAATTTATTTAATAATGGAAATTAAAAAAATCTGTTAAAAAGGAAATTTAACAAGAATAAGAAAATATTGAAAAAATGAGAAAAGAAAGATAAAAAGAAATGATGAAAAAATAAATTTTGGAAGAATAAAAAAAAATTGTATAATAATATAAAGAAATTAAAGAAATAGAAAAAATTAAATAAAAAGAAAGGGAAGAATATAACTAAAATTTAAATAAAAAATAATTAAAATATGAAGATATATAAAGAATTAAATAAAAAGAAGAATAAATGATTAACAAAAAATAAGAAATCGTCTAAAAGTAATAAAACGCGAAATAAATTAAAGAAAATGAACTCAAATAACATGAAGAACTTAAAAAAACAAAGTTCTCATATATTCAAAGCAAATTAAATGAAAAAACTACTGCTACTATACTAAAGGAAGAAAAAAAAGTTGAAACTGGAAAAATAGATAGGTTTAATTCAAATGCAAATACATTTGGTGGATAAGTTGTAAGGTTTACAGGAAGAGCTATTCCTTCTTGGAGAAATGGCTTTTATTGAATATATTTATTTATTATTATTAGTTAAATTTTTATTTAAAATATAATAAAATATTTAATTATTAATTAAAAAATATAATTATTAATATAAAAAAAAATATATAAATAAAAATATATGTATTTATTTATTATTAGTAAATTTTGAATATATTTTATTTATATTTTTTTATAGTATGAAATAATATAATAAATAATTAATTTTTTTTATTCATAAATATAATATAATGAATATTTGCTTAAATTATTGAAAGGTTAAATTATATTTAAAAAATATATTTTATATAAAATAAAAATATTGGAAATATTTTAGAAAGTGTTAAAAAATATATAAATTATTATAATAATAATTAATCTATAAGTATATAATTATATATATATATATTAATTTATATATATATATAAATTTATATTTATTTATTTTATTTTTATTTTTCATTCATATCATACTTTATTATTTTCTATTTATAATTTTTCATATTAATATTTGTTTTTTTTACATTTTTTTATTTTATTTTATATGCTTATTTTTACTATCTATAAATTTTATAAATTTTTTATATCATAATGTTTATGCCTGGAACTTACATAATTATTTTATTTATAATTTTATATATATATATTTTTTTTATTTTTATACTTTATTTAAATTAATCAAAAAAAAATTATCTTTATATTTAATTAATAAATTTTATAGAATGTTTATTCTTTATCATTTTTTATAAAAAATATATATAAAATGTTATATATAAAAATTGAAAACTATTTTTCATAATAATTAATAACTATTTGTAATATTATTAATTTATAATATTTATCAATAGCATTAATATTTTAAAAATAATTAATATATATTTTAATATTTTCTTATATTAATTCTTATATTTTTATTATTTAAAAAATACTATTTTTAAATTTAGAAATTTTATTCATTTTTTAACTTGTCAGTGATTTCAAAAAATATATTATTTTGTAAATAAACCAATTTTGTAATCTTATTGTATTTTTGATAATTTTTATTTTTTTATTTATCTATGTATTTTATTTTATATATATTCTATTTATTTTTATAAGCGATATTTTTTTTTTATTTACATAAATAATAAGTTTTTTTTTTTATAATACTTATTATCTTTTTTTAAAACTTTTTTAAATTAAAGCATAAAAAATTATATTATTTTTTTTATATCAATAAATTATAAAAAATATATATTTAATATATATTAGCTTTTCTGATAAAAATAAATAATAAATAGATATAAGTAAGATTTTTAAAAAATAATATTAATAAAGTTATTTATTATAAATAAAAAATATAATTATAATAAGAAAAATATTTAATAAATAAAATAAAAAAAAATTTAAATATTTTTTTATATCTATTATTTATATATATATTATACATATATATTTTTAATTCAGATATTATAAAAAAAAAAAAATCAAATTTTATTTATTTTATTTTAAAATTCAGTTTTCATTTACCAGCATTGGCTTTAACTCTTCTTTCGAGTGATTTGTTTTTTTTTATTGAAGGATCATTTTTAATAGCTCTTTTTCTGTTTCTTAAAAATTTGGAATTGACCTTATTATTTAATTTATTTAATTGTTAATTTTTTTTATTTTATTTACGCCTTTTAATGAAATATATCTTTCATTTTTAGGTTTTTTAATTCCGTTTCTGTGGGACTTAGAAATTTAATTTTTATTAGTTGAGTTTTTTGATTTTGCCATTTCTAAAAATGTATTTTTGTATGGTTTTTTTTATTTTATATTATATTATTCTTTTATTAATATTTTTTATATTAAGAATAAAATAAAAAATTATTTTGTTTCGATTTAATTTTATATCAAATATTAATTATTAAAATTAAATTCATTTGTATTTTTAATTATTAAAAAAAAAAAACAAAATAAAAAATCATTTCAAATATACATATTTTTTTTTATATAAATATATATAAAAAGCAAAACTATTTAAATGGTAAAAAAATTCATAAATATAACTCAAAATATTTATTTTGGATTGATTATATTATTAATTGTTAAATTATTAAATAATGGATTTTTAAATCTTATTAAAAACGTCAGTAAAGACTGTATTTCATAATACTAATTATTATTTTAATTATTAATTGATAGGAGTTTATTAATTATCTTCATAAATTTATAACTATAAAAACAATCATTAATCTAATTATTTTTACATTAAAACTTAAAGAATAATATAATAATATCTACAAATTTTAAAGATACATTATATATTTAAATCATTAATCATTATAAAAAAAACTAAATAAATTTTATTAATATATCCTAATCTATTTAATTTTCAAATATAATAGTTACAAACTAAATAGTTATGCATCATTTATTATATTTTCTAAAATGTTAAAATTCATAAAAATATTTTATATTAGTTAAAAAAAAATATAATATTTTATTAAACACTATTATTATTATTATTATTATTATTATTATTATTATTATTATCATTATTATTCATCTTTATTACTTTTAATTTAATATATTTAATTATTTCTTATAAAATAATTTAATATAATATAATAGAATAATAAATTTTACTTTAAGATAATCTTAAAACCGGTTATATTTTATTAACATTAGGCAAATAATATAATTCATTTAATATTATTATTTCAATTAATATTTATCATATTTTTATTTTATTAACTTCTAATATTTTTTTACTTCTGTCATATAAAATGAATACATATTAAGAAAAAGTTAACTTTAAATTTTTATATACAAATCAATTTTACTTAGTATGGTTCAAATATTTTTTTTTTTTTTTTTTATAATTTTATAAATTAATTTTTTTTTTAAATATTACTTGGGATAGTTTTATGTAATTGATAAATATTAAAATCCTATCTTATTAATGTACTCATTTTTCGAAATATGTAGTATTTAATAAATTTTAATTATCTATTACCAACATTATAATTCCTATATTAAAAATTTCGCTATTTAAAAATGCTTCTACCTATTTGAAAGGTTATTTATAATATGATTGTATATTATATATTAATATGAGTAAAATTTTGATTATTTTATATCATATATTATTAAAGAAGTGCTAAATGAATTAAATAAAGGAATATATTATAATAATTTTATTAAATTATTTAATTAATCTACTTCTAAAAATACTCCTTTATCGAATAATATAGGCTTTTCCTTTTTTATGTTTTGTTAGTTGTTTTCAACTAAATAAATGTCCCAAATTAAGTGTTTTTGTCTTTATTGTTAAGTCTTTGCGTTTGGCATGATTATTCAATGATGTCATTTTAGATTTCTGGAATTTCAGTTTGTTTTTGATTTTATTTTTCGGGTGAAGATTTATCAGAATTTGAAGAAAATTTTCTTCTCTTTCTTTATTTTTAATTTTCTTTTTATATTAAATATTGTATGTTTGTTTAAATTTAATTTTTATTTTATTTTCAATAACAATAATATTATTTATATATAAATTTTATAATTTTTTATTATAATTAAAATTTATAATAATTTTTATTAAATATAATATTTTAAATAATATATATATATATATAATATATTGATTAAATTTATTTGATAAGAGAAAAATTAAAAAAAAACAAACAAAAATATATAATATTTATAAATACTTTTAATATATAAATTACTTTTAATAACAATTATATTATTTAAAACTATAATATTTTTAAAATTATTTAAAAATATTAAATGGATTAATGTCAGTTTAAAGTTCCAGATTTAAAATAAAGGCAACAAGCCATTGGATCCTTAGCCGGAACTCCTATAAAACTCAAAAAAGCAATACAATCAATAATGAATAAATTCCAATAAATTAAATCCCCTAACCTCAACGATTGGTTATGGGATCACGATGAAGATGGATAAAATTTCGAAGTATATAAATCAGCAAAAATTACAAATTTTTTTAATAAAGAGAAAGGTCCAAATACTATATATATACAACCATTAGAAAATAACATAACTTTTTTGCCTATTTTAAAGGAATATTGCGATTTATTTTTTACAGGAACAACAGTGAAAATAAATTCTGTTTTAAATATACGAGAAAATCCAAATATAATATAAAGAAGAATAAATGAATATACTTAAAATTAATAGTATAATGCAACTGATATAATTAATTTTTTAATGTAGAAATTTCCCAAAAATGCCCTTTGTATAATAGCAGTTACTAAATATGATTTATATCCAACAGAAAGCTGGAATTTTGTATATGGAATAGCTTCAATGTAAAATAAAGTGGGAGTTTTTTCATTTGCAAGATATATGTTTAAAGACGATAATGATTTATTTAATAATAATTAGATTATAGATGATGATGTAATGATTTATAGGGCTTGTAAAATCATGAGCCATGAAATTTGCCATATGTTGGGAATGAAACATTGCATTTTTTATCATTGCTTAATGAATGGGGCTAACCATTAATAAGAAATGTACTAATAACCTTTATAATTATGTGTTGTTTGTGTAAGAAAACTTTAAATTAATCTAAGCTTTTGCTTTCTTCAGAGATACTAAGGTCTTATGGAGTTTTGTTAAAAAATGAAGGTTTTTAATGAAAAAGATTCTTTGATTTATAAAGAATTATATCAGACTATTTTAGAGGCTTATGGGTAAAAATATATATGATTTTTTTTTTTTAATTAAAATATATAAATATATATTAATTAAATTAAAAGAAAATATATTATTTGATATATTTTTATATTATATTTTATTATATATATTATAATTTATATTTTATTATATATTATTTATAAATAGGGTATTTAATTTTTTTTTTTATATTATTAATTTTATTTAAAAAAAAAATTAATTTATAATAAATAGCTTGATAATATTTTTAAATTATATTCTTTAATTGTGGAATTTTTATATTTTATCTATTATATAAATTAATTATTATTATTTATTTATATTAACCAAAAAAAATAAATATTACATTATAATTATAATTAATAAAAAAATATAAGAAATTAAATAAAATGATTAATATTATTTTATTTATAGTAATATTATTAAGTCTTACCTATTAAAGTGGAGGATATGGAAGTTATTAGATAGGATAATATAATGAAAAAACACACAAAAAAGCATTAGAGGTGGGTTTAGAATATTTAAAATAATAAGAATATTTTAAAGAAATTTAAAATAATGAACCTAAATTAATTGCTGTTTACTAAAAGGTTGTCAGTGGAATGATTTATAAATTTATTTTAAAGAACGAAAAAAATATTTATGAAGTAGATGTATGGAGTAAACCATGGGAAAATTTTTATGAAGTAGTAAATAGCTAATATTAAAATATTGAAGAAAAATAATAATTATGATAAGCTAAATAAAATATATATATATATATATATATATTTAAGTATATATAAGTTACTATATATTTTTATTTATTATTAAAAATTACTATTATTTATTTTTGAATTATAAATATTCATATAAATAAATGGAAAAAAAAATTATTTAGTTATTACAATTATATTAATAAAAATTAGTAAACAAATATTTATAATTAAATAAATAAAAAAATATTAATATATAAATATATAAAAAATATAATTAAAATATATATATTTATATATATATATATATATTTATATATATATAATCTTTTTTTTTTAAAAAAAAAATAGTAATTTTTTTTTTATTTACTTTTTTTCATATTATTAATTTTAAAGTATATTTTTTATTGTATTATTTTATAATTTATATTTTTTTAAATAATTGTTATCCTATGACTTTTTTTTAATATATTTTAAAATAACATATTCTTATTTAAAAAATTTTTATGTATTTTTATTACTAATTGTTTATCTGAAAATATTATATTTGTCAATTTTTTTTTCATTTTTTTTTATAATTTTTAATAGATAATAATATTTCTAATGAAATAAACGAATATTTATATATTTATTTTAATTTATATATATTATTTATTTTAGTTTATAATTTTGAAAAGTTTTGCAAATACTTAATTAATCAGTTTTAATCATATATTGGATGTTTTTGATTAAACGAATGTATTTTTGATTGATGCTTCGAGTATTAAATAGAGTAGTTATATTGTTAATTATACCGAAGGATAGAATTTTGTTGAGATTTATAATTATACAGAATATAATTTCTTTAAGAATAAATTTAAATTAATAGTAATCACTTTATAAATAGACCAGGTTTTGTAACTTATTTAATTATTGAGTTATATGAGTATGAAAAAATTAGGAGTAATAATATATAAATTATATATAATAGAGGAGTATATAAGACTTTGTGAAAGCGATAAACTTTTTGGGAGTATGGCGAGATTTAGAATCCAATTAAATAAGGTTATAAAGATTTTAAAATTTAATTTAATAGTATCAAAGATAATTTTATAAATAAATTTATTGAATATATTGGTATTTTTAGAAATGAGTTATTTTTTTTAAAAAAAAATTAATTAAATATAAATAAGTATATATTTTTTATTTAGTACTTTTTAAAAATCAAATATAATTATTCTATCGTGAAATTAATAATATATTTATTTATCTTTTTTATATTAATTATGTTTTTTTTATTATACATTCATACTTTAGTTTATTTTTAAATTTATTTTTTTTAATAAAAGAAAAAAAAAAAATATAAAAATGAATACAGATGTATAATAACTAAATATTACAAAAGTTTACAAAAATAACAGATATATTTAAATATTTTAAAATATAAATAATAGCTGAATTAACCGATTTCATTTAAATTAAACTAAAATCGCAGTCATATTATCACATCCAACACCATCTAAAATAAGAATTAATTTAAAAAAAAAAAAATTACTAGCAGTATCTTTTGCAAGAATAGTATCTAGAAGATCGACTAAAATATCTTTAAGGCTCATATTTTTTTCAATTCTACTTTAACAGAACTTTCCAAGATCTTAATTATTCATACATTCCCAAATACCATCACATCCCATTAACATAAATTTATCATCATTAGTTAATTGTTTGGTTTTAACTTCTGGAAATGCTGTTATAATATAATCATGAGGTCTACATCCATTTTACCCTTTTTTATATTCAAAATCTCCAAAGGCTCTTGATAAATTTAAATTTCCATTCACTCTTCCATCTGATACGAATCCTCCAGCTTTTGTAATTCTTTACTTCTCATCTGGATTATCTGGTTTATGATCAATTGACATTTCTATAGGATTTCCTTTATTGTAAATAACTGTCCTTGAATCTCCTGAATTTGCAACATATAATTACTTTTTATGAATCAAAGCTACATTTGCTGTACATCCTGCATATACAACAGAATCTTCATCATAATCATTATTGTGATTATTTTAATCATTAATTTTGTTATTTTTTAATTTTATTAATTCAGCTTTTCCCTCATTTGTTAACATTAATTCGTCCATTTTTAAAAATGTCTCCTTTAGAGCTTCCTCGAATTTCTTTTGCTTGTAATTAACATTTTTTTTATTTCTTAAATAAAATGAATCTCTACGAATTTAGCTACTTCATGTCCACCATGTCCATCAAATATTCCAAATATGGAAGTTTCTTCATCTACATTTATATCAGATATATGACCGTCTTCCATTGTGTTTCTCCAACCTATTTTTATATAAAGAATAAATATATGTATTTTAAAAAATAAAATAAAAAAAAATGGTAATATAAAATATTTTAAGGTTTATCATTTATTTTATACAAAGACTTTGATGTATTTTTACCTTGCATATCAACCATAGCGAATTTCAAATAACCATTTTATTAATCTGCTATTATTTTTTTATCAGTTTTAGGTTATGACATATAAGGACCCATTTTTGTTTTTTTTTTTTTTTTAATAATTAGTATATTTTATTTTAAATTTTTTTTTTTTAAGAATATTTATATTTACTTTTATACATTATTTTTAGTAAATTTAAATATATGAAAAATAATACAATGCGATATTTTATAGATATTAATATAATTAAAAATTTTATTTTGAATTAAATTTTTAAAATAAATCATATTAATATAAAATAAAAAAAACATATTATATATAAATACGTATAAAGAAATTATGATTTTATCTTTTAAAATAATTATTATATATAAAAATAAATATAATATCTTTTATATATATGTTTTATATACTTAAAAATATATAAATATTTTAAGTTTTATTCATATAAATATATGAAATAAATTATAAAATAAATATACATAATTACTTATAAATATTTTAATTATATTTAAAGATTAATGTTATTTTATTATATTCATATTTTTATATGTTTTAAGATAAACATTTTAAAAATTAATAAGTTTTATTTTAAAATTATTAAATATAAATAAAAATAAATGAAAATTAAAAATAAAAAATTAATAATAATAAAATTAATATATATATATATATAAAGTAGATTTTAAAATAATAATAGAAATAATAATGACTTATAAAATAATAATAATAATAATAATAATAATAATAATAATAATAATAATATTAGTAATTATAGTATAATGGAATTAATTTTTATATTATTAATAATTCTTAAAATATTTATAATTATATTATTAATAAAATTAATATTTTAAACCTTTTTTAAAATAACATTATATTAAAAAATATAAGTCAATTTTAATTTTTATTATAAAATTACAATACAAACAATTTTATAATTAGAATAAAAAAAAAAACTTAAAAAATTTATCAATACGATAAAAATAATATGTTTTAAAACTTATTATTTTTTAAATCTTAATAAAAAATCGAAATATTAATAATAATTTTATATTATTTAATTTAATAAAAAAAATTGTTTTTAAATCTAAATTTAATAAATTAAAATTTTATTTTTATATAATTAAATTCAAAATTTTATTAATATATATTTATAAATACATGTTTATATAATTAAATATATTTGTTTAATATATTTATTAAAAATATTAATAATAATTTTTTTTAATAAAGATTCAATATTTTATTAAATTAATTTTAATCAATAAATAAAAATATATGGTTATTTGTATAAATTTTTAAAATATTAAATATACATATATATAGATATATATATTTATACATTTATATATTATTTATTAATAAAATAATTTAAAATAAAATAAAAAAATGTCAATATTTTCTGATAGAGCTTAAATAGTTAACTCTCCTTGGAATTAATCTAAATCTAAATAAATGTATTCATTTCCAAAAGATGATCGTTTTAAAAATTCAAATATTTTTTAGTATCATAAATAAAAAAAATATAAATAATTTTTTTTTATAAAAATCAAATAACTTTTTATAATAAATTTAATATCTATTTTTTTATAAAAGTACATCTAAACCTTTTTATGATTTACCTTCAACAAAAACGCAAAGAGCCCCTGGAATTGGTTATGGAAATAAATGTGAAATAAAAAAATTATATTAAATATATTTATTATTTATATAAAAAAAGATGACTTTACTAAAGCAGGTTCTAAGACTCCTGCTCCTAATACATATTAGTAAGATAGTAATACAATAAACAATAATATCAAAAAGGGCATATCATTTGGATTAAGTAGAGAGGTATAATATATATATCTTTTTATTTTTAATCTTTAAAAAAAATTATTTTTTAAAATAAAAAAGTAAATGTCAAATTCTATGGGTCCTCTCGGTAACATAAATTCAAAACTTCCTGGTCCAGGTATTTTTTTATTATATTTAATTTAATATATATTATATAATATATTTAATTTTTTAAAACATAGGATAATATTAAATTCCAACTGCATTAAGTAAATAAAGCTTTTCTTTAGGATAAAAACTTCCTACAATAGGTATTTTTTTAAAAAAAAATAGTTTATATATGTATTTTCTATATATATAGAAGAATCAAAATCATTTAAAACACCTGGACCTGGAGTATAATATAATAAAAATAAAAATAAAAATAATTTTTTAAAAGGCTTATACTTATTTACCATCTATAAATGAAAAGGGAGTATACTTTTTATCTAAATATTAAAAGTAAGACTTAAAAAAAAATATATATAAAAAAAATAATTAATATTAAAAGCTCAAAGTCATGTTCATTTAATCCTTAAGGGGAAAGATTTAAAAAAAATAATAAAAATGTAGTACCTGGACCAGGGTAATAAATAAATAAATAAATATAAAATTAAATATTTTATTTTGTTTTCAAAAAAAAAAAAAGATAATATTAATTAGTTTCAACAATAAGTAAAGATGGACAATATTTTAATTCAAAATTTAAAAGTAGTGGATGTATGTCTTTTCCACATGCTTAAAGATACGCAGAAGCTAAATCTTAAATAAAATAACCTGGGCCAGGTATTTTTTATTTTCATAAATATAATATAATAAAATAAAAAGGATAATATAGAGTACCTAGTGAATTTGGATATTATGAAAGTGAAACTAAATGATAAGAAAAAATAAAAAAAAGAAATAAAAGAATATAATAATTATTTACTAAATACAAATTTATATTATTAATGTATTTTTTAAAAAATATTTAATAAATATTTAAATGTTTTTTGTTATTTAATTTTTTATATAAATAAACTTTAAATATAAAAAAATTATATAATAATAAGAGATTTAAAATAATATAACTAATAAAAATTTTTAAAAAAATATATATAATGAATATATAAATGTATGAAAAAAAAATATATATATATAAATATATATAAATATATATAATATTTATATATTTAATATATATATATATATATTTATTTTTAATTTATTTCATATTATTTTTAATTTTTATTAAATTTTTTAATCTATTTTTATTATTTTATTTAAATTTTTTAATTAATAAAGTTTTCCAATAAAATATTTTTGCAAATCTATTTTTATTATGAATAAACTTTTTATATAAACATATTAAACTTAAAATAGCTTATTATATCATTAAAAATTAATTATTTTTCATGTAAGGTTTATATTTTTTTTTTTTTTTTCATACATAAGTATGCGGTTAACTGAAATTTTGTTTTATTTCTAATAATACGTTTTATGGAATTTATATAAAAAATAACTTTTTGGAGCTTAAATTATTATTATCTTTTTTGCCATATAACTTTCCTAATTATTTGTTTTATTAATCAGTTATTTATTAAAGTTATTTGTTTTATGATTGAAATTGCTATTATCCTTTTTATGATAATAATTGCATGTTTATTTATGTTTATTATTCTATTTTAATTTTTATTTTTATTTTCTTTAAAAATAAGCTTAAAATATTTAAATAAAAAATAACCTTTTTTAGCATATAAACTTTCTATAGTTTTTTTTTTATTTTTTTAGCATAAATTTAATTCTTCTATAATTTCGCTTTCCTCAAACAAATTTCCTAAAAGTTTTTTTAATTCCTTAGTTAGTTCTTCTATTGATTCTTTTTTTTTTTATAATAAAAAAAATGATGAATTTTTAATAATTTAAATTTATTATAAAAAATAATTTATTACATTCTATTTATTCTTATTATGCTTATTCTTGGTTTTCATTTTTTTGATTTTTAGGTTTAGGAGGAAGAGGCTTTTTTGGAGCAATTATTCCTTTTTTTAGCATTTTTTATTAGTTTTTTTTTATCAAAGATAAAAAATATATTTTAAAGAAATATTAATTATAAATAATTAATTAATATATTTTTTAATAAAATAATAATTTATATATATAATTTAAAATAAAATAAAAAAACTACTCTGTAATTAATAATTTAAAACTAATCAATATAATTAATCAAGTTTTTTTATTTTTTTATTATAAATAAAAATGAAAATACTATTACTAAATAATACTAATCTTAAGTAATAACCTTCTTAATAATCACCTGTTTCAAATTTATCAAAAAGTAATTTGTGTAATAGTTTAATGAACTCATCTGTAGTTGTAAAAATGCAACTTTAATAGTTTAAATTATAAACAAAATAATAATAATTATCATAATTTTAGACTTTATAAGATCAAAACAATTACAATTTGACAACAATCGGTTCTCCAACAACTGCAACAAATTTATAAAATAATTTCAATTTTCAGTAATTTGCCTTAAGTCCTTAATAATCAATAATTTAGTAAAAGCCATTAAATTAAAGAAAGAAAAGTGATGAATAATTTTAGAATTTATAAAGGAAATATGCAAGTTTATAATTATAATAAGAAAATTTTGAATTCACATCTCCTAGTTTAAATCGATAAATAAGAAAAATATAAGAAAGTAAAAGTTCTAATATTTAATAAAATAAAGATTTTCGGAAAATCGCAAGATTTGAAAACGGTGCCGAACATAAAATGTTAGTAAGTTCTATGTGTAGAAATATTAATCCCGTAAAAAAATAATTCGAGGAATTAAAATAGAAGTTAAATTAAAAAGGCAGGAATTAAACTGATAAAATTTCTATTAAAAAAAATAATGGTTAACTTGATAAATAACTTGAGAAAATGCTTATAAAATTAAATATTATTCAAATAGATAAAAATTAAAAAATTAAAACTAATATTAATACTAATATAGTTTATAATAGGTTAATAGAAGAAGCTTGTAGAAAAAAACATCTTGAATATAAATAAAATATTATTAAGTAAAAAATATAACAAAAAGATGAGGTCAATTCAAATAAAATTAATTTTTTAAATGTCCCGAAATATAATAAGAAATGGAAATAAGATTTCTTTACATTTAATAAAAAAAGCTTAAAATAATATAAATTTAATTAAAATAATAAATAAAATGAGTTAATTAGTAAATATTAAAAATGGTAGAATAATTTTATGGGTTTATTATAAAATTCTAATAATTAATTACTTAGTAATTATAATATAGAGTAGTTTAATAGAGCGAATGAAGATCCATTTTTTAATGAACCTTATTTGAGATTTTCAATGGAAAATAATATGATTTTTAAATAGTCGAAATAAAAGTTTGTTAATGGAAAATTATAAATTAAATAAAAAAATATTTCATAGATATTCAAAAAAATGTGGGATCCAAATAATTGCTCATCTGATGATTCTGACTCTTCGTTTTATTATAAACCTTCTTCTTAAGCCTAAATTTGATATTTTTATTTTTTAAAAAAATTATTAATATTATGTTAATGCTAATCTGTTTTTTTTTTTTTCTTTATCTAATTTCAAATAAAATTATTAATATTTATATAATATAAAAAAATAAAATATTAATAATTTATTGATTTAAATTTTAATTATATAAATAATTATATAAAATTATATGAAATTAAAAAATATTATTAACTAATATAAATATAATTCATTTTTCATATTTTATTTTTTATTTGTATATGAATAAATAAAATTTTATAAATCTAATCTATATATTTAATAATAATTTTTATGATTATTTTAAATTAGTAATAATTTTTATTAATTATATATTTAAGTAAATAAATTAAAATTTCTATATTTTTAATATATATATATATATATATATATATATATATATATATTTTATTTTTAACTTATTAAAATATATATATATATTTATGATAAATTTAATTTAATTTACTAATTTTATATATTTTATATTTAATTTAAATTTTTTTATTTATATATAATTTTTTTTTTTTTCAAGATTCAAAATATTTTATAAAAGATATATTAGAAATCATCAGAATTTTTTAAATTTTAATATATATATATAATTTTTTTATTAATATTTTATTAAATTTTTTTAATATAATTTTAATTAACTTAATTATTTATATGATAAAGTTATCAACATTTAACTTTATAAATAAGTATATTTATAAATTCTAACAATTTTTATATTTTTGTTATTTACTTTATAATTTTCTTTGAATATTTTTTTTATTATTTTTTTTTTTAATTCACTTTTTTTTTATAATTATTTTTATATATTTTATTATTATTAAATAATATTTTTAAAAGATATATATTAAATTTTCTTTTGATTTTTTTTTTTTTGTAATTAAATTTATTTTTTAAATATTGTATTTAAAATTTATTATTTTTTGTTATATTTAATTTGCAAATATTTTATTTTTTTTCCCAAGAACTAATTATTTTAATCATTATTAATAGATTTTGTTATATTTTTTTTGTAAAATAATTTAAATTAATTAGAACTAAATAAATATTATATTATTAATTAGCATTTTTATATTAACTCATTAACTAATTATTATTTTTTAAAATTTTATACACTAAACTATTTTTTAAAAAAATCATTTAAGATATAAAATATTTTTTTATTTTCTTCTATATTAATGCTATTTTCTTATTTTTTTTAAATTTAATTTTTTTATTTTTTTGGAAAATTTTTTCTTTTTTAAATTAAGTAATTTATTCTGTCTATACATGTTTTTTTTGTTTTTTTATATTCTTTATTTATTTTATAAAAATAAGTAATTTTTATATAAAATTAAGAATTTCTCGATTTCATATACTTCATATTTTATTAAGAATTTAATTAAATATTTTCGTAAAAATTCCTCTATAAATTTATTTTATGAATTTTTTATAAATATCTAATAAAATTAAACTTTTATTATCATTATTTAATTATATTATATTATTTATATACTTATAATTATATATATATAAAATAAATAAATATTTATAAGTTTCTTTCTTTTTTTATATATTCAGTTTAAATATAAAAATCTATTATTATTTCATGTACAATTTTTTTATTATCTCTAATTATTATTTTATACTTATTTATTATTATTAATTTATTATTTAATACTTATAACTGTATTTTTATTAATATTCTTTAAAAGCTAATTATTATCGAAAATTCTTTCCTAACCCCCTTAAAGTATTAAACTAACACCATTTTACAAACCCAACATTTTCAGTATTTATGCATTTCCCATAGCCAACGGAGTTTCTCCAAATTAATTAATACAATTAAGATCACCTCCATATTTAATAATTAATAAAATAATATCTATTTTACCACTTTTAAATGCTAAATGTGTGCTTGTATTTCCTTTTTTATCTGCATAATTCGGGTCAGCTTCTTAATCTAAAAGCCATTGAACAAATTCTATATTTTTATGGAAAACTGCCCAATGTAAAGCTGACATTCTTTACATATCAATTGCTTAATAGAAATCGTTTTTGGAATAAATAAATTAAGATGAATTAATTATCCAGAATTTATTACTTTTAGCAGCTTCAATTAATTTAAGATTTTTTAATTCGTATTAGATAGGTTTTCTTTTTAGTGTAATTTTTTAATAGTCTTTTTTTTATGTATATTAAGTAGATGAAAAAGTAGAATTTTGATTTTTTTTTTATGAAAAATCTTCTAAAATATCGTCTTTTTGAGAAAGAATAGAGCTATTTTTAAGTTAAACGATTTCTATAGTATTTTATTTGTAATTAGGAGTAATTTTAACAGAGGTGTTTTTTTATAGAGATGCTATAAGGTCGATTTTATGCTTTAACTCTTCCTATCTTTAATTTTTTTTAGTTTCTAGTTATAGTTTCATTTTAGTTTATTAATGAAACATTCTTATTTTTTTTTATATTAGAATTATTTTTTTTATCTCTTTTTCATTGTAATTTTATAAAGTTTATTCTTTTTAATCTTTTTCTTCTTTTTAAATAGGACCTGATGAATAAAATTATTTAAATAAATAACTCTTCTTATAGGCTTAAGGAGATTTTATATTTAGTTTATATATATTTTATTATTCATGATTTATTTAGTTCATTATTTTATCTGATTCATTATATTTTTCTAGTTCTTCGGCTGTATATTCTTATATATTTCGATCTTTTGGAAATAAAAAAACTTTAGAAGGGGGATGATATGTGTGCTTTTTTTCTAAAATTGAAAAATTTTTGTGAATTGGCTATGAGAGGTGTTTAATGTAATCTTTTTAGGATTTTTTTTTTTATTATTTTTAGATTTCCTAAAGTATTTTTAGTTTCTATTATTCTTGAGTTTATACAGAATATATGTCTAATGATTTTATCTATTATATTAATTCATATTAGTTTATTTTTTCTTATAAAAATTCATTTATTTTTTCCTCTCCGAGGACATTATTTAAATAACTTTAGTCGAATTTGCCTTATTTTTACATTTTATTACATACTGTGGATAACATTCTATGTTTACGTTGAATAATTTTTCTATTTAATGCAATTTTTTATTAGTTTTCGATATTTGCTTGATAATTTGCTAATTAAGAATATGATTTTTTTAATTTCTAATTAATAAACTCTTATCTACTTTATTTTATTTGTTTTTATATTTCTTCAAAAACTTTAATTATATTCTCAGCTAAACCTAATTCTAACTTTTTATTTTTTATTATTTTTTTTTTTTTTTTAAAAAAAAAAAAAAAAAAAAACATTAGCAATAATATCATCATCTATAATATCAACTGCACTTTAGACGAATTTTTTATTAATACAAGCATTTAATAATTTACTTGTATTAGCTAAAAGTTTTAATTCTTCATCTGAAAGGACTTCACCTTCTGAAAATTTACTAATTAAATGATCTCTTTACATTTATTTTTTCATATTCATGAAATATTTTTAAACAAAAGGCAAAAATCCAACTGAATTCCAAGAAGAACTACTAACTTCATATGTATATAATTTTTTTTTTACATTTTTTTATTATTTAAAAATATCTTCTTTATCTTAAGTCCAGAAAATATCATCGTCTTCTTCTTTGTTTTTTTAAGGGGATGAATATATTGTTTTATTGATATTTGATTCTTTATTATTTTATAAACTAACTGACATTACTTATCGTTTTGATACGTTGAAAGAATTGTCGTTTTTCGTTAAACCTAGCCTAGAAAGGAATTACTATGTACGAGGATTTCCATAATTACTCATATTTAAAAATATATCTTTGGTACTTGTCATATCTATATTTTATAAATTAAATTTGGTATTTTAGGCAGCAGTTTCTTTCCCTTAATCTTTTAGATGTTATTTTTCTTTAAGTTTTTATAATACTAATATTAGATTATCATACTTTTTATTTTTAAATTAAAAGAAATAATATATATTATTTATATATTTATATATATATATATATATATATATATATATATATATATATTTATATATATATTTATATATATATATATATGTTTGTATGCTTTTTTTATTTACATCATTTAATTTTTCAACTATTATTGTACTTAGTCTTTTACGTAAATTTTCATATTATGTTTTAAGTTTTAACCAAGGGAAATAATCATCCTCCATTTTTTCATTTTTCGTTCGAATTTGCTCTTTTTTTTCGTTATCCTCTTATTTTCTTTCTTTTATTTCTTATTTTTCCTTAAAATTATTAAAAAGTTAAGATATTGATTTATCCATACATTTTATTATATAATCAGTTTTTTCTTATTTTGTTTTGAACATGTTTAATGATAATTCATTTATTTCAAATGCTTTTAAGACACTTTTTTTTATATTAAATAAATAGATATATATAGATATATACTTACTTAGAGGATATTTACATATCTGTTTATATATTTATTTTTAATTTAAATAAATTTTCGATTGTTTTTATTATTAGAGATTGAAATACTGTTGCAATTAAAGCATTTCCAAACATTTTCATTACTGAACTATTTTTATTCATATTGTTTTTTAATTAATCTTTAAACTTATCATCAACTAAATCTAATAATTAATTATTTTATTAATTTTATACTATATTAACTATTGATTATACTTTATTATTTAATTCAACCGACTTTCTGGGATGAACTTGTTTTTTGTTTTTTTCGGGTTGCTCAGGAAAATGTTAGTCTTTATATATTTGGCAATATTATTATAATTTTTAGTCTATTTCTTTAAATGTAGAATATTCTATTTTTGGATTTTCTGGTCGAATTTTCAAAAGTCTTTCATATGTTTTGATACTTTTACACTTTAACATTTTTTTTTGTTTTATGAATTTAATATTTTTTTTTTTTGGGGTTCTTTATTTTTTTATAATAAATAAAAAATATTTGCTAATTTAATGATTAAGTAATTCACAAATGTATAATATTAAAAAATTTAAATATTTTAATTTTTAATTATTATAAAATAAATAATAAATATATTTATTACCATAACATAAAAAAAAATGTGTGTTTTTTTTTAATTCTTTGGTAATTTTAAATAATAATTAAAAAAAAAAAAAAAAAAAACTTTTTTTAAGATTCTACTAAAATTAAAGTTTTTTTATAATTAAACTAAAAAAACTTAAAACATAAAAAAAATATTATAATTTAAATATATTAAACTTAAAATAAAATAAATTTTAAATAATAATTTATCATTAAAATGCTTTTTATTTTCATAATAATTTTTTAAAAAAACATTAAAATTTTTTCTTTATTTTTATTTATTAAAAATACAATAATTTATTTATTTAATATTATTTTTATTTGCTTATTAATAAACTTTTTATATTTATAAATTATATTCATATTTTTTTTTATTATAACATTTCTATTTTTCTTTATTCTTAAACGGCTAATTATTAAAATCTTCTAAAAGCTTTTTTAAATCCAAATACTTTCGTTGGAAGTAAAATAATACATGTAAAAGTTAAAAAGTCCATATAGAAATCATTTAATTCTATTATTTAATTAGTTTATTTTTAGAAATAAATATTGAAAAAAAAAAAAAAAAAAAAAAAAGTTAACTATATTTCGGATTAATTTTTGGATTTTCAGTTCCTAATTTTAAAATATTAAAATTGCTCTTGGATATATTTCCATAAGTAATATATTAAAAGAAATCATAACAATAATTAATTCTTTCCTTTTATAAAATAAAAGAAAGAATAAATTGAAAAATATATATAAATATATAATTTTATATATGAATTAAATTATTAAGAAATTACTTTTATTTCATATTTTCTGTTATAAACTTTATATTAATTAATTTTCGGATAAAAGAATAATTAATAATAATCACTTTTAATTGGGAAATCTTAATAAGTTAATTTATATTTTTAGAAATTCTTAGTAAATATATTATATTGATTTTTCGCATATTAAACTACATTTTAAAAATTGAATTATTTATAATTTTTATAAAAATAATTTAATCTTTCATAAAGTTTAATTAATTTATTGTTTTTTAAATTATCTAATTATTATTGCTTATTTTTTTATATAATTTATTAATCTTAATCATTCATTACAGTACCTTAACTATCAGTAATATTACTTAATTTATTGTTTTTCTTTTTAAAGCTATCGCCTATTTCTATTAAGTATTTTTTTTATTTAAAATTATTATAAACCTAATTTTTTATATTTCTATTAACTATTTCCATATATTTATCATAATATTAATTTCTTTACATTATATCTTTTTTTTTTAAAAATAAAAAAAAAGAAAAAAAATATTTTATTTAAAAATTTTTTTTTTTTTTTTTTAGTACTATATATATATTTTTTTACAATTCATTTTTTTCAATCTATAATTTAATGCATTTTTAATATTTATAATTCTTTTATTATTATTAAAGTTTAAAAAGTAAAGATCAAATAAGTAATCGAAAGTATATAAATACAAAAAGACTCCAATAATGCTAGTTTATCTTAATTAAGCTATATATATATATTTAAAAATAATAACAAAATTATATTAATAGACCTGTATTGTATATAAATTTTGCAAATATTGGATACCATTTGTATTCCCATTATTAGTCATAACAATAATTATAATATTCAATATGTCCATAGATTAGTTATTTATTAATATTTGATAAGTAATTTGGAATATATGTTTATCCAAATATTTTGATATATTCCTCATATGTCACATAATATTAAGATTTATTTTTTTATTGAGAAAAAAAATATATTAATTTATCTTCTTTTTACTATAATTCTGTATAGAATTCTTTTTATTATTAATTCATTATAATAATTTTTTTCTTAATTTTTGATTAAATTATTATTATTTAAAATAAATATATTTATTTTTATCTTTTTTTATATTTTACAGATTTTTATGTTTATTTTTAATACAAATTAATTTAATTATTTTTCTTTTACATTTGTCTAAAAAAAAATTTAATATTTATTACTCTCTATTTTTAATATTTTTGGCAAATCTAATAATTATAATTATAGAGAAATCATTATTTAATAAAGTCAAAAAAAAAAAAGCGAAAAAAAAAAATCTATAATTTTAATTAAATATACAATATATTACTTTTTTTATTTTTATTTTTTTGATTATTTTTTTTAAATAAAAAAAACTATATTGACTTAGAAATAAAGTTTTTATCGTTTTTTTTCTTTTAATTTTAAAATAATATCAAAAAATAAAAAAATTAAAAAATAGTAATTAATTATTTTATATAGAAAAATTAATAATTGTATATAAAAGATAAGGAAATTAATAAAAAAGAACAATAAGTAAATCATTTATTAGGAGAAACCACATAAGTTATAAGATGTGACTCTAGTTTTATTTATTAAACACCCTTAAATTTTATAAAATATTTAAACTTTTTTAGAAATATAAATAAAAATATTAAAATTAAAATTAAAGAAAAATCTTATAAAGAGAATTTCAGATATATAGATTATTTTTGGTTAAAAACGCATGTTACTAAAAAATAAGAATAAACATACGGCAAAAATAAATATTAAAATATTAATAATACAATAAAAATTACTTAAAAAAAATTATATATAAAAAAAATTAGTAAATTTAAATAATGTAGAAATGCTAATATTAAAAAATAAACATATTAAAGAAGAAATATAATATTAAATTCGATAAAAAAAATGTTGGTTTAATAAAAAATGAAAAAAAAATGAGAGTTTCATGAACAAATATAGTAGATAATATAGATGTGGATATTATATTAATAAAAGTATAAATTTTATAAAATTTTATTATTTGCTTAAAGTAATATTATAAGAATATAATAAGATAAATTAAATTATAATATTTTTTATATTAAAAAATATAATATATATAAAAAAATAAAATTATATTTTAAATAATAAATAAACTATTAAAATTAAAAAAAAAAAAAAAAAATATGTAAAAAAAAAAAAAAAAGATATATATTTTTAAAATATAAAATAAATATAAATAAAAAAATATATAAATAAAATAAGATAAGATAAAAAAAAAAATAATATTAGATAAAATATATAGAAACAAATTTAAATATATGTAAATATATGTAAATAAGTAAATATGTATATATATATATATATATATATATATATATTATATATATATATATATATATATATATATATATATATTATCTAATTTTTGATGAAATATATTATTTATTTCTAAATAATTTCTTAGTGATTTTCAACTTTTTGAACTTGAAATTATTTTATATTTAGTTTCATTAATTAATTCGACAATTGTAAATATAATATTTATACAAAGAATTTTATTCATAAAATAATTAAAATAATTTAATTATAAAATATTTTTTAAATTCTTTATGATATTGATTAAACATAACTTAGTAAGCTTTTTTAATATTGCACAGGATCATTAATGAAGGACACCAATTGAACGATTTAAGTATATAAAGTTTAAATATTTATATTTTTTTTTATATATTATATAAAATTAGAATCAAACAGAATAAAGTATTATAAATTTTAAATTGATCTTCAAGATATTAATAAAAATAATCTTGTTTCAAAAGCTCATACTTGATTTAATAGTTTAGAGATACCTTTATATGATTTTTTTTAGGAAATAAAATATTATTTAACTACTATTGTATGTAATGATTTTTATGAGATTTTTGGAATGGAAATAAAATTAATAGGAACAAATATATTTTTAAATTATATTAATACATAATATTTATAAATATATTTCATTAATTTTAATATTATTTTTTTATTTATTAATTAATTAAAAATATTAGTCATTTTTTTATTATTTTTTATAAATTTTATAATAAAATATTTTTGTATAATATAAATTTACAAAGTTTTAAGGATTTTTATTTAAGTTATTTAAAATTATGTGTTTATTATCATTTATTTTTTTTAAAATACTTTTTATTACAAATTATATAATCTCTTATATAAATTTAAATTAGAATATTTAATTAAAAAATCTATTTATTATTTTATAAATTTAATTTAATATAATTAATGAAATTTATATTTTTTTAATTATTATATAAAAAAAATATTATAATATGAAATTAATTTTAAAAATAATTAAACTATATTTTTTTATATAGGAATTATATTATAAATAATATTATTATATATAGTTATTTTATAAAGGTGATTAATTTATTAATATTTTATAATAAGATATACATATTTTTATCTTTTTATAATAAAAATGTTGTTTATATAAATAATTTATAATAATGATAATCTTAAAAATGTAAATATAAAAAATATTAGAATAAATAACAAAAAATATTAATTA